AATACTGTGCCTGATAATTCGGTGTGACGTCACAAACACCTAGCTGTAACTTTAGACCGCCCTAACTCGAAGACGGACCATGGTAGTAAGATCCGGTATAAATATTTATTCTCAGATCTTTCGTGGAAACGGCAGTCCTAAATTCCAAATTGTTTCTGAGATAATCCCTTATGAGGATAAATTATGCGGGAACTTCTGACGTCACACCGGCTAACCGCCGAAATCGCAACCGTGAGATCGTTGACCGAGTCGACTTTTGTTTTGCAAAATTTTACACGTATTTTAACTGTGCCTGTGAAGCCGGTGTGACGTCACAGCCGACACGTTCGTCACTTTAAACCGCCCCAACCTGAAAACGGGTCATCGTAGCAAGAATCAGCAAGATGCGGTTTAAATATTTATTCTTCATTTGCATTAAAACTTTCTTCTTTGGGTCGCTGAAGGCTTAAGCCATTATGGGATGGCGCGGCAAATTTACTCTTCGCCCAGTGCGGCACAATACCTAGAGCCGGCCCTGGGAAAAACTTAAGAACAGTCAAAAATCAGGGCCGTAGCCAGGGGGCGGCATTTGGGGACAATGCCCTATTTTCCAAATGATCATGCCCTACCTTTAAAACGCAACATGCGTTAAGGTTTCTCTAGGAAATTTAAGAGTAGATAATGAAAAGGCCTGAAATCGAGTAAGTCCGAGGATAAATGTTTCCGAAAACTCTTAAATGTATGCAACAATGTTTGACGTTTACACAGAGAAAGTTTTTCGTTTCGAAAGAGTATAAATGTAAGAATAATGCGATAATACACGCGGCCTCGTTTGTGGAAATTGCGGCCATACCTATGGCGTTCGGGTTTAGAGCCAGAGTAAGATTTAAATACTCCATTCCGTGTAAACGAACATGCATTTAGCTACTCTATTTACGCTAAAAAGCCGTAATCGAACACTCAGAAGGCCGTTGATACGAAGTATTTGGAGTGAAAAAGCCGAACACAACCTTAGACGCTCTTAGTTCTGTTCTAAATTTCTGAAGATCTTTATTCGAATTAGAACAACTCTGATTGTTGAAGTATTTTCGGAGTACTTAGAGTACACAAAATTGTATTTTTTTCAAATATAATATCTATTGAATCGGATACTGTGTTCGGAGTGAATGAAGTAAGAATGTTTCCATTACAATTAGTCATTACAAATGGAATTCTATTTTTGTGATCCGGGCCTTTTTTGCGTTGACTGATTTTCAATTTCACTTTTCATATCGTGAATTAGGACGTTCGGAGTATACTCTTTTTACTCCTTTTTTACTACCCAAACTCCAATCGTTTTACTCCGAGTAAAATACTCAAATTGCTGAAGTTTTTTGTTTAAATTTTACTTTCGAGTCAAATAATATCCGAACCATTAGAGTGCAATTTGATGATGCCCAAAAAAATTTTGACACATTCAGAGCACTGAATCGCTCTTTTCACTCTAAAAACGCTGTTCTGACTTAATTTTAATGTGAATTAAAATGTTAGAATTTACTCGTTCTATTGTTTTTTTGACACCCGAATGCCAATGATCTTTTTCTATCCACTCCAAACACAAATCTCAAATTGGTAGAATAAAAAAGAATCCCATTGTTTTGCACTTGTTACTCTAAATAAACTGTTCCAACTTCATTTTATTTCATAATTTACTGCACAGATCAGTTTCAATTCTTTGTTCAAAAATCCAAATGCCAATGATTTTACTCCGAGTAAAATACCACTCTAAAAAAGTTTCTACCTTACTCCAACATAACAACCATAAGTTTCAATCTACTCTAGAGCTCAAATTACTTTAAATAGAATTCTATTTGAAATTTCTTTATTGATCTGTTATTTGAAATAGAATCCTATTCATTTTATTTTCAAATCATCCTAATCTGAATTTTTATATAGAAAAATTAAACATAGAGCATTTGAAATTTAAAGTAAACTTCTTCTACTCCAACCCCAAGGACATCAGGATCGAACTAGTGGAATTTTTAAATACCCAAACTCTATTGATCTTATACTGTTTACTCCGAACACAAAACCCGAGTGAAAAAGTACAATTTATTTTTTGCTCCCATTACTCTAAAAATACTGTTCCAAGTTTATTTCAGATTAGAATCTATTTCAGGGCCAAAATCACTTTAAATAGAATTCATGTCAATAATAAAAAATAATTTAGTAACAAGAAGAAGAGTAAAAGATGTTGATTACAAAGAAGTTCTTATTACTCTATTCCATTTATTTACCCTAAAAAAGAATAATCGAACAGTTAGAGTGAATATCGAGTACTCTGGAGATCCTAAATCATTTTAAATTGTGCAATCGCACAAGTATTTTAGTTACTCTATTCTATTTACACCGAATAGTTAGATTACTTTATTGGTTCAGGTACCGTCTACTCATTTAACACTTTCCACTCTAAAATAGTTTGGGTTTAGAGCCAGAGTAAGATTTAAATACTCCATTCCATGTAAACGAACATGCACTCAGTTACTCCAAAAAGCCGTAATCGAACAGTCAGAAGGCCGTTGATACGAAGTGTTTGGAGTGAAAAAGCCGAACACAGCCTTAGACGCTCTTAGTTCTGTTCTAAATTTCTGAAGATCTTCATTCGAATTAGAACAACTCTGACAGTTGAAGTATTTACGTACGGAGTACTTAGAGTACCCAAAATTGTATTTTTTTTTAAATATTATATAATCCATTGAATCGGATACTGTGTTCGGAGTGAATGAAGTAAGAATGTTTCCATTACAATTAGTCATTGTAAATAGAATTCTATTTTTGGGATCCGGGTCTTTTTTACGTTCAATGATTTTCAATTTCACTTTTCATATCGTGAAAAATAGGACGTTCGGAGTATACTCTTTTTACTCCTTTTTTACTACCCAAACTCCAATCGTTTTACTCCGAGTAAAACTCAAATTACTGAAGTTTTTTGTTTAAATTTCACTCCCGTGTAAAATATCCGAACCATTAGAGTGCAATTTCGCGATGCCAAAAAAATTTTGATACATTTTTTGCTCTGAACGCTCTTTTCACTCTAAAAACGCTGTTCTGACTTAATTTTAATGTGAATTAAAATGTTAGAATTTACTCGTTCTACTGTTTTTTTGACACCCGAATGCCAATGATTTTACTCTGTCCACTCATAATTTACTACATAATCAACTGCACAGATCACTTCCAAATCTTTGTTCAAAAATCCAAATGCTAATGATTTTACTCCGAGTAAAATACCACTTTAAAAAAGTTCCTACCTTAAGCCTAGTACTCATAACTGCGAAATTCGCATTTTGCGTTGCATTGCGTTGACAATTTGACGTTTTATGCGTGTATCAAACGTCTAATTGTCGAAGCAATGTCAAAAAAATGCGAATTTCGCAGTTATGAGTACTAGGCTTAACTCCAACATAACAACCATAAGTTTCAATCTACTCTAGAGTTCAAATTACTTAAAATAGAATTCTATTTGAAATTTCCTTATCGATCTGTCATTTGAAATAGAATTCTATTCATTTTATTTTCAAATCATCCTAATTTCAATTTTTATATAGAAAAATGAAACATAGTGCATTTAAAATTTAAAGTAAACTTCTTGTACTCCAACCCCAAGGACGTCAGGATCGAACTAGTGGAATTTTTAAATACCCAAACTCTATTGATCTTATACTGTTTACTCCGAACACAAAACCCGAGTGAAAAAGAGTACAATTTCTTTTTTGCTCCTATTACTCTAAAAATAGTGTTCCAAGTTTATTTCAGATAAGAAGCTACTCCACTCACTTTAAATAGAATGCTATTTCAATAACTAGTAACAAGAAAAGAGTAATCCAAAGAAGTTCGTATTAGGGAGGATTTTCATTCATCCGTTTTTCCGACGAAATATGTCCGTTTAACATTCTATTCTGACATAATCGTATATAAATATGTCAAAATAGAAGACTTTTCGGACATATTTCGACGGAAAAACGGATGCATGAAAATCCTCCCTTACTCTATTCCATTTATTTGCCCTAAAAAAGAATAATCGAACAATTAGAGTGAATATCGAGTACTCTGGAGATCCTAAATCATTTTAAATTGTGCAATCGCACAGGTATTTTAATTACTCTTCTGTATTTACACTGAATGGTTAGATTACTTTATTGGTTCAGGTACTGTTTTGGAGTAAACGGAGTAAAATTATTGTTGTTCGTTGTAAAAAAAGTGAACTCCAAAAATTTCATTACACAGATTAATTTCAAATTGATAACTCATTTAACACTTTCCACTCTAAAATCGTTCGGGTTTAGAGCCAGAGTAGGATTTCAATACTCCATTCCTTGTAAACGAACATGCATTTAGCTATTCTATTTTCGCTAAAAAGGCGTAATCGAACACTCAGAAGGCCGTTGATACGAAGTATTTGGAGTGAAAAAGCCGAACAAAACCTTAGACGCTCTTAGTTCTGTTCCAAATTTCTGAAGATCTTCATTCGAATTAGAACAACTCTGACAGTTGAAGTATATACGTACGGAGTACTTAGAGTACCCAAAATTGTATTTTTTTTAAATATTATATAATCCATTGAATCGAATACTGTGTTCGGAGTGAATGAAGTAAGAATATTTCCATTACAATTAGTCATTGTGAATAGAATTCTATTTTTGTGATCCGGGCCTTTTGCGCGTTGAGTGATTTTCAATTTCACTTTTATATCGTGAAATAAGACGTTCGGAGTATACTCTTTTTACTCCTTTTTTACTACCCAAACTCCAATCGTTTTACTCCGAGTAAAATACTCAAATTGCTGAAGTTTTTTGGTTATTAAATTTTACTCTCGAGTTAAATATCCGAACCATTAGAGTGCAATTTCGTGAAGATAAAAAAAAATTGACACATTTTTTGCTCTGAATCGCTCTTTTCACTCTAAAAACACTGTTCTGACTTCATTTCACTGGATCTACCAATCGGAAACGCCATTATATTTGTTTTCTTCGTCCTATTTGCCAAAGTCAAAATGATAGGTGAAAATTCAAATAATTTTTTATTGTTTTTTTGTATATTTTTATTTTTAATCTTCCATTCTTTATCATGATGAAAACTGGAGACGAAGAAATGCGCATGTTGCAACTTGATAAACCCGGATTAGGAAAAGTGAGTTTCCAATAACAATAATTAATAAATTTATAAATAAACAATTATTCAAGTCTGTGACAGAACTTCAAAAACACTCCATAGACGAGGCAATGTTTGAACATAAACCCATAGACAGAGGCCTATATATTGTCAGGTAAATGATTATTAATTAATAATTTTGAATTTCAAATAAATACAAAATTTGCGGTCAAAGATGTCAAACGAAAACGCTTCGTGAATTTTGAAAACCCCTAATGGCGATTTTCGTTTTTGTGAATCACACTGCGTACTGAGTTGAGTATATTTGCATCTTTTTCTATCATAATCTAAAAAATAAGGACAAAGATAGTCTATAAGTCAATGTACAAAACATAACCTCAATTTTTGTTTACATTATTTTGTATTTTTATTTATAATTTTAAAAAGTAGTTATGATGATTTTCTATTAAAAATATAATGAAAAATTGTTAAAAAATGAGTGACGAAGACGAGTGGCTGAAGAGGTTTTTGGAGGAAGAAGAACGACTATTAACGTAAATATTTCATAATTAATAGAAAAATATTAAATTTCAGAAGAATATTATTAATATATTTATTTATTTATTTCTTTATACACTATATGTACACAAATATACTATAACTTAATGTGTATACAAATAAATAAAAGAAACCCTTGCTGTAGTAAATCCTCCCTATCTTCCTACCTTTGCTGAACAATATAGGGTGCTTTATAGTACTGTGTGTGCATACCTGGTTTCCTTGATAAATTAAATTTACTTGGTTGAGATTAAATACCTTTACTGAGATATTTTTCACCTTGTTAATCTGTGTATAAAATCACTGGTTAATATATATGTTAATACCAGGTAAATACTATGTCAATACTATGCAATACCTACTTGTTAATTATGTAGGTAATATATGTCAATACTTGTAGATATCTAGGCAACATAATATGTTAATGTCATTGGCTGATACCCATTAATAACATGTAAATACCTGTGGATATGTCAATACCTAGAATTCTGGCAAGACAAATATTTGATTTTAGTCTGTCAATAGCAATGGTAATATGTGATAATATTAGGGAAATACCTGTAGAAATATTTTGTTAATACATGGCAATAACTTGTTATTTTGTTTATACATAGAAATATTTCAGTTAGTACTGTTAATTGGTGTACAAATTTTGTTAGGTGAAAAACCCCTCGCCATTACAATATAATAAAAAAATATATAATAACCATAATAACAACATTACAGTAATACTGATAATACTTCCAATCCTTAAACATTCTACTTAGAAAATACCTAAAGCTTTATATCCCTCTATATATGTGATAAATTTATGTAGCAATTTTATACCCACTATCCCTTTGATGTTTATTTTCCTTAATACCACTAGGCAAATCACTGTATACCTTCAGGCCAACACAGTAAGTATAATATAATATGTTTCTGACAGGTTGTATCAACTTGTGCAGTACTCCTAATATTTAAACCATGCTTTGTAGTAAGAATTCTTACACGTGAACCTTACCACAGATTTAATATACATACATTTTTGGTCTATAGTTAGTAAGCCATTTTCTTTATAAACAAAGTTACTTGGGTATCTTTTCTTCTTGAAAAAGATAATTTTCATTATCCACCTATGAACTATACTCATAAGCGCAACTAGGCTCGAAATTTGAGGGGTGCTGCATTTTTTTTTAATGGAATTTGATGGAAAGGGAATGAGACACGTAAAAAAAAGTTAGTTTCACAAGGGTTTATACTTACATCATCATTTGCCTTTTTTTTTTTTTTAAAAATAGGTTTTTTTTATGTCTGAAATTTTCAACAAACATATAGTTCGTTGAACGACACGAAGGTTTTTTACTTACGTCATCGATGACGTCATAACTTAGAGAAAAAGTTGAGTCATAGATTATTCATAGAGCACCTTCGGAGTTATTGTTTTCTAATACATTTTTTTACTTAAAATAATGTTTATTCAGTTATATATGAAAATATATAAATAAATTTCTCCTGAATAAATTTGTCCTGGAGTAATTTTTCACTGGAAAATTTTGAAATTTTCGTCTAATGAACTCCTCAGTTTCCTCTTTCTTCTGTAAAAATTTCAAAATTTTCCCGTTGCCAGTTTTCCAGAAAAAAATTAAAATATGAGAGAATGAATTTTCCTTAATTTTGCCTAAATAAGTCAATTTTCTTGGAGTGATTTTTCACTGGAAAATTTCGAAATTTCCCTATAATGAGCTCCTCACTTTACTCTTTTTCCTGGAAAATGTTCAAAATTTTCCCTCTGCCAGTTTTCCAAAAAAAAAAATTAAATGTGAAGGAGTGAATTTTCCTTAATTTTGCTTAAATAACTCAATTTTCCAAAATTTTTTCTGGAGTCATTTTTCACTAGAAAATTTCGAAATTTTCTTATATTGAGTTCCTCACTTTCCAGTTTCTTCTGGAAAGAATCCATAATATTGGCTTTGCCAGTTTTCCAGAAAAAAAATTGAAATATGAAAGGATGAATTTTGCTTAAACAAATTAATTTTCCAGAGTTTTCCTCTCGACTTTCCTTGGAGTAATTTTTCACTAAAAAATATTGAGATTTTCCTATAATGAGCTCCTCATTTTCTTCTTTCTTCTGGAAAAATTTCACAAGTTTTCTAGAAATAAATTGAAATGTGACAGCATGAGTTTTTCTCAATTTTACTTGAAAAAGTAATTTTTTCAGAATTTTTCCTGGAGCAATTTTCCATTGAAAAATTTTGAAATTTTCTTATAATGAGCTTCTGACTTTCCTCTTTTTCCTCTTTTACCAGTTTTCCAGAAAAAATTGAAATGTGAAAGGATAAATTTTCCTTAATTTTACCTGAAAAAGTCAATTTACCAGAATTTTCCCTGGAGTGATTTCTCACTAAAAAATTTCGAAATTTCCCTATAATAAACTCCTCACTTTCTTCTTTTTTCTGGAAAATTTTCAAAGTTTTCCCTCTGCCAGTTTTTCAGAAAAAAATTAAAATGTAAGAGGATGAATTTTCTTAATTTTGCTTAAATAAGTCCAGAATTTTTCCTGGAGTGATTTTTCACTAGAAAATTTTGAAATTTTCCTATAATGAACTCCTTATTTTCTTCTTTCTCCTGGAAAAATTTCACAACTTTTGTTTTATTAGTTTTCCAGAAATAAATTGAAATGTAAGAGGATGAATTTTCCTTAATTTTGCTTAAATAAGTCAATTTTCCAGAATTTTTCCTGAAGTGATTTTTCACTGGAAAATTTTGTAATTTTGCTATAATGAGATCCTCACTTTCCTCTTTTTTTTCTGGAAAATTTTCACAATTATTCTTTTGCCATTTTTCTAAAAAAAAAAGTCAATTTTTCCTTAGTTTTTGCATTTTCGAAAAACTCCTAATTATCGTAATTCCCCCGTAATTTTTTCGAAACTTTCCCATAACTTCAACAATCATAATTTTTTCATAATTCCCGTAATTTTTTGTACTTATTTTTAATTCTCCTAATTTTTTAAAAAACTTTTTAAATTCCCCCCAAGTTTTGTAATTTTCATAATTTCAAAAATTCGTGATTTTCGTAATTCCTATAATTTTTGTAATTTTTGTGATTGTCTTTATTTTTATAATTCCAGCAATTTTTCGTAATTCCTGCAATTTTCCGTAACTTTTCAAAAATTGCGAAAAAGTGAATGTCAAAATCGCTGGAAAGTGACGTTGGAATTACGAAAAATAGAAGTAAAAATTACGAAAAAATGAAGTTGAAAATGTTAGAATTGCGAAAAAGTTGAGTAAAAATGGCGGAAAAGCAAGGTTATAATCGAGAAAAAATAAGGTTATGAATACGAAAAACAAAAGTAAAGATTATGGAAAAATTAGGTTGAAATTGCGGAAATGTGAGGCGAAAATCGCGCAAAAGTGAGTTTATACTTATTGAAAAATGAGGCAAGAATTGAAAAGTGAGGCAAAATTCGCGGAAAAATTTATTGAAATTGCGAGAAAGTGAGTTTGGACTTTGAGCTTGTGGAAAAGTGAAGGTGAAATTGCGAAAAAAATTGTTGAAAGCCGTTATTTCTCAAATAAATTTCGTTATTTTTATAATTTTCCCTTAGTTTTTGCAATTTTCGCAAAACTCGTAATTTTCGTATTTCCCATAACTTTTTCGTAATTTCCTTAATTTTTCGTAACTTTCCAAAATTCATCGTAATTTTTCTGTAATTCCCGTAATTTTTGAATAATTCCTGTTGTTTCTCAGATTTTCGTAATTTTTTAATTTCTGTAATTTCTCAAAATATTCAGTTACTTATTTTATAATTCCCCCTAAGTTTTTGTTACTTTCAAAAATTCGTAATTCCCGTAATTTTCAATTTTTTTTTGTTGTAAATTTTCATTATTTCCGTAATTTCTCAGATAATTCTCCCTATTTCTATAATTCTTTTTTAGTTATTGCAATTCTTGGAAAACTCCTAATTTTTCGTAATTCCCGTAACTTTTTCATAAATCCCGTAATTTTCCAAAATTATCGTAATTTTTTCGCAATTCCCGTGATTTTTCCCTATCTCTTTCAATTTTTATATTTCCTCTGGTTCTTCAAATTTTCGTAATTTTGTAATTCCCTTAATTTTTCAAAAAATTCCGTTATCTTTATCATTCCCCCCCAGTTTGTTGTGATTCTCAAAAATTGGTAATTCCCGTATTTTTTTTTTCTTGGAATTTTTAAAAATTCTTAAATTCCCGTCATTTCTCAAAAAATTCTCATTAATTTCATAATTCCCCCTTAGTTTTTGCAATTTTCGGAAAATTCGTGAATCCCGTAACTTTTTGTAATTCTTGTTATTTTCGTAATTTTTTGAAAATTGTCACAATTTTTTTAATTCCCGTGAATTTTTCGTATTTTTTATAATTTTTGAATAATTCCTGTAGTTTTCAGATTTCTGTAATTTTTTAATTCCTGTAATTTCTCAGAAAACTCCGTTATTTTCATAATTCCGAAATTAGTGAGTCTCGTAATTTTCGTATTTTATTTTGGGAATTTTCGAAATTTTGTAATTCCTGTCATTTCTCAGATAATTCTTGTTATTTTCGTAATATCCCCTTAGTTTTTACAATTTTCGAAAAGCTCTAAATTTTCGTAATTCCCATTATTTTCGTAATTTTTCAATTTTCGTAATTTCTCAAAAAAATTCCGTTAGTTTTATAATTTTCCCTAAGTTTTTGAAATTTTCGAAAGTTGGTAATTTCCGTATTTTTTTTGGGGGATTTTCGAAATTTTTTAATTCCTGTAATTCCTCAGATAATTCTTGTTATTTTCTAATTCCCCCTTATTTTTTTCAATTTTTGGAAAACTTGGTAATTTTCGTTATTCCCGCAATTTTTCACGTTTTTCCTATCATGATGTTTTCGTAATTCCAGTAATTATTTGTATTTTCAATTTTTTAATTTTCAATTTTCCCAATTTTCAAAAAGATTCGGAATTTTCTAATTCTTCCTAAGTTATTGTAATTTTCGTGATTTCAAAAACTTGTGATTTCCGTTATTTTGGGAATTATCGTAATTCACGTAATTTTTTGATGATTTTGTAATTCTTTCCCGTAATATTTCGTAATACCCGTAATTTTTGTAGTTTTTCGTATTTTTCTCAATTCTCGTAATTTTTATAATTTCTCATAATTCCCGTTAATTTTCGTCATTTCCGTCATTTTACTGGGTTTCGTAAATTTTTATAGATCCCATTATTTTTCGTAATTCCCGTAATTTGTCTTGTTAGTTTTTGTAAATTCTTCAACAATTAATAATATTTAAATAATTAACGTAATTTTGGAGTAACTTCGTAATTCTTTCGTGTAATATTTGGCAATTCCCATAATTTTTGTAATTCCCGCAATTTTTTGTTATTCCGTGGTTCTCGTAATGTTCCGTAATTCTCGTAAATGTTTGCAACTCTCATAATTTTTCATATTTTACATACTTTTACGTACTTTAACGTTTTCCTTTCACTAAGTTTCCAGGAAAAGTTTGAAATTTTTTGCATGTTAAGAGGAAGGTAAAAAGCTCATTTTCCCAAAATTTTAAATCTTAAAAATCAACCTACAATAACTGAATTAATTGAATATACAGTCTCACACATGTCAAACTAGTAATGGGAAAATTTTGAAACTTCTTGTATGTAAAGAGGGAGGTTACAAGCTCATTATCCCAAAATTTCAAATTTTTTCAGTGCAAAATAACAACATGAAGAATCTTGGAAATCAACCTACAAAAATTGAATTAATTGAGAATATAGTCTCACTCATTTCAAAGTTTTTCTGAAAAACTAGTAAAGGGAAAAATTTGAAACTTTTTACATGCAAAAAGGAAGGTTAGAAGCTGATTTTCCCAAAATTTCAAATTTCTCCAGTGGAAAATAACAACATGAAGAATCTTGGAAATCAACCTTTGAAAACTGAATTAACTGAAAATACATTCTTACACATTTCAAAATTTTCCTAGGAAACTAATTGAGGGAAAATTTTGAAACTTTTTGCCTGTAAAGAAGAAGGTTACAAGCTCATTTTCCCAAAATTTCAAATTTTTTCAGTGGAAAATAACAACATGAATAATCTTGGAAATCAACCTACAATAACTGAATTAATCGAAAATATTGTCTCACTCATTTCAAAGTTTTTCTGGAAAACTAGTGAAGGGAAAAATTTGAAACTTTTTGCATGTAAAGACGAAGGCTAGAACCTCATTTTCCCAAAATTCCAAATTCGAAAAATCCAAACTTTTGCCACTTGTTGTTATGATACACTTTGTAAAAGTAACAAATTTCAATGTTTTTCTCAGAAACTAATTTGGAGTCGTTCTTTCTACTACATGCAGGGTATGAATGAGACAATTTCAATAATAAGCCAAAAATTGGAATATGGTTCAGTTACCTCGCTGTAAACCAAGTTAACTTTACTGGAAAATACCAGGAAATACTGTCCAAATTTGAAAAGTTCATATTCCCAGAAACTGAAAGTTTTTGTGTGAGTGGTTGACCCCTTGTATTGTCCATAATTATATTAAAATTACTATACTTACATGTTAATATTTTATTTATTTACTTGCAATTTAAACGTGCAACAGCCCAATTTTTACAATAATTGTACTTAATATGATATTAATAAGAGATACAGGGTGATTTATAAAAGAACAGATTTTGGTTTTTCTTACGAATCACCCTGTATCTCGGAAACTGATAGAAATTTGCTTGGAAAATTGACAATAATGAAAAATAACCTTCGAAAAAGGCAACTTCTTCCTAATTATATCTCTTATATTTTCCAATATACCTACCAATGATAGCCCATGGTATTTTGGATAATAAAAATTTCTGCCAAAAGAACATTACTTGAAAATGCACAAATCATAATAATATACATATAGTCAATCTCAATTTTGGTCTATTTCTGGCTCTTGAATTTTTGTTTCTTTCCAAACTTTTTGAAATAAAGAAATTTTGAGGAATAGAACATACCTACATCATTTCAGTTGAATTACAGCCCAATCATATTGCAAAATGAGCTTCTCTATGTGAACTGTAACTTAAAAATGATGAGTAATCGTAGTTTAAGGGCCAAAATTGACATTTCCATGTGCGTGCCATAGCCCAAATTTAACACTGGAATTGTCAGAAATTGTAGTTACTATCTACTCTAGAAGAGCCTGGAATAGGATATTTATTCATCTCAGTTGAATTTCCACACTTAAGCTGTATATATGTATGAATAATTCAATCCAATTTCAGCAAAGGTGACGAATTACAAAAACTCAGCGTCATCGGGTCTCTGCCCGAACTACTAAAATATGACCAAAAAGGCACAGTATCAAAAATCATCCCGAAAATCCAACAGGAACTCCCCAATTCCTCCTCAGAATTCAACTTAGCCGTCAGCAGAATGTTCAACATCTTAATCCACATGGACATACCTGTCAATCTTGTGCCACAAGTAAAAACATTTTTGTGCCACTTATACAATAATTGAAACTACTTTTAACAGATATTACAAGGCATCGAAAACCGGGATCCCATTATAGCAAACGCCTGGATGGAAACTTTGCTTGAAGTAATTCCAGTCCTAAAAGAAGCAGTGGTCAAAAACGAAATACTTAGATGTGCAATTTCAAAGGCCCAACTATCGAAACCTGCTTATTATAGAGTTTCTAGTTGTAGAATTTTGGGCAAAATATCTTTGCATAAATGCATGAATCCTTTCGAGTAAATAATAATTGTAAATTATATAACATTAAATATTTAGGTTTGAAATTTTAGAGTCAAAAAAGATGTTTTACCATTGGTACAAAGCTTATGTCAGGATTGTTTTCACGAAGTCCGTGCAGCAATGTGCAAAGAATTACCTGGAGTAGCTCAAGGCCTTTACAATCTTGGTGATGCTATTGTTAAAGTCAATTTGCTTCCGTTGCTAGTTGAACTATCAGCTGACGAAAACGTTTATGTCAGGTCAATTGCCATAGAGTCAGTAGTTGCTATAATACCGTATTTGAGTCCTGAAACTATTAAAGGCACCATAGTACCTTTAACAAAAAAGCTGTGTACTAAAAGTGCTGCAGAAGGGGATACAACTTATATTGCAATGGCTAGCGTTTTTAATATGCTGATAGCTAATTTGCTGCCTCAAATGACTCCCAGTGATGGCATGTGGTTTTTGGATTATTACAATCATATTTGTAAAAAAGGACAGTCTACTATTGAAGATGTTGATACAGATCCTTCTGTGTGTATGATGTGTAGAGAAAATTGCGCTTTATGTCTTCCAGTAGTAGCTACAATGGTGTATGCCCAAATTCCCAGCGAAATAAGTGTCAAATTTTACCATACGTTTAGGGCTTTGGCAGCTGATCCTTGTTATATTGTTAGAAAAGCTGTTGCCAGTTGTTTTGCTGATGTTGTCAGGATTTTAGGTAGATTTTCAACTATGTAATATGATTTAATATGAAGTTAATTTTGTAGGACATTCAAACAAAATAGTTATAATTGATTTTACAAAACTATTACGGGACGAAGATGAGGAAGTTTTACACGCACTAATACCAAATATTGCCAGTATTTTGGAGTCTTTTACATATGTTGGGGTGTTGCAAAGAGGTATAGAATTTAAATTAAAATTTCAAAATCTCAAATTAATTTCCAGATACAATATTCCAAGCAACCTCAGACATTTGCAGGGCAATGCAAAAATGTCACGAAGACGCTTTCAAAACAAACGACTGGCGTATGAAAGAATGCTCTTTGAGACAATGGGAGTTTTTGCCTAATAGTTTTCCATCTGATTTTATTCACCAGCATTTTTCCACTATGGTCCTAAATGCCGCTATACATGGTAAAGCAAAACCTGTCCGTTCTCAAGCAACACGCACCCTTTTAATAATTCTCAAATATAGTTTAAAAGAAAATCACCGCAAATGGATCAGAGAAATGATTCAGACTCAGCTATGTAACGCAGAATGTTGCTATTCAAGACAAATGTATGTAACCTTATGCATACATGCTTTGGATATTTTCAGCTGGAAATATTTCAAAGAATACTTTTATTTGCCTCTATTGAATTTATCTGAAGATCCTGTAAGCATTGTCCGGTTGTGCATGGTCAAATTGTGTCCGGTTTTAAAGCAAATGCTCAATTTCCCGTCTGATAGAGCCTTACAGTTGCGGCTCGAAAATATTTTATCGAAAATGGAAATGACTGAGTGTGATAAGGATGTTATTATGACTCTTAAGCAAAAGTTGAAGGAAATGAGGTGTATGAGGTCGGTGGATTCGGAAGTTTTGGTCGAAGATCGACGTAAGGCTGATGAGGAGGAAAAGATTTTGAAAGGCAAATGGACTTTGGTTAAAGTTATGCCTATTGGAGGAGTTAAAGGTAAGTTGAGTTTGAAATTTTAGTATAATGAGCTCCTGACTCTCCTCTATCTGTCCTGATAATTTTATAATTTTTTTTGCTTCATTAGGATTTTGCTAGTTAATTTTCATTGATTTGCCATGTCGTTATTTTTCACAGAAAAAATTTGAAATTTTACTATGATGACCTCCTAACTCTCCTTTTTCTTTTCTGAAAATTTCATAATTTGCCCTTGGATAGTTTTCCAGAAAAAAAAAATCTGCTAATTCACTCCATCCTACTAAACCTCCCTCGGCAGCTCCTTCCCCCGTGATTCTGATTATTGCTTGTCTGGCAGCCCCATCCACCTCTCTCTCTCTGTGGGGCAAGTTCTCATTGCGCCCGTAATGCATGTGCAGGCCAGGCGCTGCAGTTTATTGAGAACTGTTTTATGTTCTGCTTCTCAATTGCATTGAACCAGACTACCAATCCGTATAGTAGGGTTGGTCTTACTATCATGGTGTACATCCATCCCAAGATCCTTGGTTTGCATCTCCAGGTTTTGCCCGCGAGGCTTCGGCACACCATGAGAGCCCTCATAGGCTTGGTTACAGCTCCCTCGATGTGTTTGTTCCAGCTGAGTTTGCGGTCCAGCGTTACGCTAAGATATCTGACTTTTGATGCCGGTATAATGATAGTTGCATGTATCCGGATGTCCTTCATTCTAGAAAGTTCTCTCTTCCTAGTGAGAGGCCTTACAGTGGTTTTCGATGGGTTTATCTCCAGTCCCACTGTTTTACACCAATTCTCCGTTGCTTTGTATGAGTTCACACAGGATGCCCTCGAACTTTCCTCTTGCCATGATGACGATGTCATCGGCATACCCAACGCAGTCCAAGCCCAGGTTGTTCAGTATCTGCTAGAAATACTACGTCCACCACCAAGCTCCACATCAGAGGTGAGCATACTCTGCCCTGGGCCTGGGGAGTGCCTCTAGTGGTGCTCACCTCAATACACTCGGTGTCTACTAACTGAAGTCTCTGCTGTCCTTGTGGCAAGCATCCTACACATCCATCGGGATATTGTGTCGTTGACTTCCCTTCTCGCTAGAGCTCTCAGAATGGCCACATGGGATTTGTTGTCGAAGGCGCCAGCGATGTCTAGGAAAGCGCACAATGCGACTTCTTTCCCTTCCAGAGATTCTTGTATCCTACTTGTCAGTTGGAACAGTGGATCTACCCGCTCTGTAAGCGTGTTGACTCGCGTTCAGCGGTCGCGTTTCCAATGCAGTGAATCTGATATAGCTATCTCCATTGTCTTTAAAAGGAACGATGTGAGGCTTATTGGTCTGAAGGTCCCATCCTTCTTGCCTACCTTCGGAATGAAAGTGACTCTTGCCCTTCTCCATATTTGAGGTATATATCCCATTGCCATGCTGCTTCTGGTTATATCTACAAGGTGCGGCATGATCTCTGTTTTTCCTCTTTGTAGGACTGCTGGAAAGATCTTGTCTACTCCTGGTGATTTTAGAGGTTCGAATGTGTTCAATGCCCATTCCATTGGTGAGTACTACTTTTGCTATTTCCCAGTCCTCCCTTGTAGGGCGTCTGGGGTGTGATCTTTCCTCACTTTTGTTTGTACGTTTGCTGCCTAGAAAGTGTTTGCTTAAAAGAAGGAGCGTACGTTCTTCTTCACCTTCCGTGTAGGTACCATCTGGTTTCTTAAGAGCCATTGTCAAACACGCTCCCTGAACAGTAGTTAGAGGGTTGTAAGGCCTCCAAGGTCCGTATCTCTGGGCGTGACGTTCAGGAATAATTCCCTGAAGAACACTAGTTACCTTCAACCAAGACAAGGAGTACAAAGCTCTTGAGACAGACTTTGTGGATAATTACCACAAATGACTAATTGGCGTAATTAAATGAGTACCCAACTAATATTGTTCAATACTGGTTTTATTAATCAAATTGGTTCCTATTTACATATATTGTACATTTCAACTTGAACCTTATTATATTTATCATAATTAATAACAATGAACTGTGTGTTGACTTTGTTTAGGCAGGTATCTAAAACATTGGCGCTACACTGTATCATTATCGTGGTTTTTTAGTAAATTTGGGCAAGGTTTGTGATACTTTGATTACCTTGCCAAATTTATAACAAATTGTGGATTTTATATGTAGAAATTTTAGACTTACTTAAATTTTATGTTGAAATTTCGAAATGTGTAATTCAAATTTTATGTTGATTAAACACTCCCTCTTTGGCCATTGCTTTGTGTAGTCTAGCGGCTACTGGAGTCTAGGTGATGTTCTCACAGAAAGTCCTAAAGTTGTTTTTTTTTGCCTTTCTGATTTCTTTGTTGTATTCTGTGAGGGCTTCTGTGTACCGCTGCCACTCTCCGGCTAGGCGTGCTAGCTTTACATTCCACCATGGGGCCACACTCTTTCGAAACCATGTGGCAACTAGAGTCAAAAGCCTCTATTACTGCCTGTTTCACGAACTCTACTTTCCCTTCCAGTTTTAGGTGATTTCTTATTCTTCCTGGGTTGATTGCTTTGAGATTTTCCTCCAGATTGACTCTGTATAATTTCCAGTTTGTTCTCCTAGAATTTCTCTTGAGTTTTGCTTTGGAGGAGCTTATTTCTAGGCTATGATCCTGTGATCAGACAGGGAGGGTTCAGCCGAGATCCTCCATTTTTTCATTTAGTTCCTTATTTCAGAACTACCAAATGTAATGTCTAATACTTCCTTCCTAGCCCTTGTTACAAAAGTGGGTGTATTCCCTTTATTGTAAATATCAAAGTTCATTTCAAGTAAGTATTCAAAAAGGTACTCACCTCTGGTGTTGGTGTTTGAGCTACCCCAGAAGATGTGTGCATTCGCGTCGCCTCCTACAAGGAGTGGGATGTTTTTCCCCCTACAGTGGTGCGCAAGCTACTGCAGTTCCGCCGGGGGCGTGCGTGAAGCTCCTACCCTGAGGAGCTACTTTTTACCCACCTCCACTGTAAATCGTCTTCCATAAAGCCCTCCATTAATCTATTTTCAAAACGCTCTTACCCTGAGATGGCACTTTATTATATCCCTTCAGTTTCTTGAAAACTAAAGAATATTTAACCAATTCTTCCATTTGTATTCGAATTCGTCAATTTTGGGGTTGGCCCGGGTCAAATCCCCAAAATTTCAGATCAAAAGCGCCGCCGATCTAGAAATTTTCCCACGGTATCGAAAAACTTCCCAGACTCAAGTGCCCCGACAGTCCGACAATGCCCTATCTTTCAAATGATGATGCCCTACCTTTAAAACACAACATACGTTGAGCTTTCAACCGACATGAAAACCGTTCTAGAACGGTAATTTTCAGTCGATCAATTCATTTGCCAAGGAGGATAAACGTTCAACTTATTGAAAATTAGGTGGGCAATTGGAAATTACTAGTTCTGGAACGGTTCCTATGTCCATTGGACCACAGCTAATGAATGGACCTGAAATCGAATGAGTTGGTAGGCATATAGTTATTTTACAAGTAGTACAAGTACAAGAGTTCCTCAAAAATTATTGCCTGAACGCGCCATTTTGTTTATTCGCCAGAAATGTTATTTGATGTTGTTTATTGAAAAATTTGCCTTCGGTGTCATTACCCCCATTCTGTTTACCTATAAAAAATTTAAGGGGCGGGGGGAAGTAGTGCATGCCCTATGTCAAATTTTTCATGCCCTATCACAAATTTGACTCTAGCTACGGCCCTGTGCGTACGGCTTAACACGCGAAAAAAGAATTAAATATAACCTAGGGGTCGCAGGGAACCGGACTAGGTAGAGGGAAGGTTTTCTTTCCTTATCTTTAAAAGCGTGTGGTTTGATACAAGAAAAGAGATACTACAACCAACTTATTAACGACAGACGAGGTCGAAATATAATTAATATGTCTTTTAATCACTATGCAGGCTCTAGGCGTTTCGTGTCTGTCGTCCCATATTACCTTTGAGCTTTTGGTTGTCAGTCCTTTTACCTGTCTCCTGTAAACCCATGGTTCTTGAATCAGCGCAAGATCCACACGCCCTTGCCCAACCAGCCCCGCAATCACAGCAGAGGATCCTCTGGCATGATGCAGGTTGACTTGGGCTACTCTGGTGGTTGTGTTGTCCATCAGGTTAGTTACTAGGACTGAGATGAGGTGTCGTTGCCCTCACCTTGACGATCTCTGTTTCGTTCCTCAGTAACTCTTCCTCTTCTTCCGTGGGAAGCTCGTTCTCTGAGCCCTCAGCCCCGATGTTCTCTGGGTTGGGCTCGCTCACCATCGGCTCTGGTGCCTCTTTCCCTTTGGGGAACTAGTGTTCCCGGAGGTTGGGGTTGGCTCTTCCTGAGGGAATGGTGGATCTGTATCTATCCTTTCCTCTGGCTCGTTTTGTTTTTCGCCTCTCTTCAGGCCATGCACCGTGACGCACCCAAACCTGTAGTGCATGGAGTGGTTTTGCGCCACGATCGCTTCGCTCGACTTGATGTCTATGCCCAAGATTAGCAGCTGACCATGTGATTGCTCCTTCGAGCTAATCAACTTCCATGCCTCTGTCCTGAGGTCGGCATTATGAGTTTTTAGGAGCTTGAGGAGTTTCTCAGCTTCTTGCCCTTTGTTCCTAGGAAGGAAGACCGTTATGGTGTGTGTTTTCGGGATGTTTTCTCCCGTGCACACAATTAAATCCGGCCCTTTCCATTCTTTCAGCTGAGATACCGTTCCCCTCAGCCAGATGACTGTTTGGTCATTTTCGCAGTCCACCATTATCAGTCCTGACCTAAAAGGGATTCTTGCAAACTTCAGGTTAACTACTGTGCTGGTGAACATTTCATCAACCAGAGCACTCTCTAGGTCCTGTCAACTGTTGCGTGGTTAGTGTGACCTCGGGGTATTCCCTCGGAACGATTCCCATTCGGACGCTTTTTACCGCCCGTACCGCGGCCCTGCTGCCGTTGCTTTAAAGGGGTATATTTTCCTCTTCTTGCTGCTTGGTCCTTGAAGGGATGTGATGTTCTCACTTCCTCTCTTGACCTCTTTGCTGTCCTCCACCTTGGACAAGGATGCCGAATCAGGAGTCAGTGTTTGTTGCTTCAGCCTCTCTTCTTTCTCCTTGTCTACCCTTTCCCTGGTTGAATCAGGTGTCATGCCCTCTGCCAAGTACCTGTGGTACTTCTTAGCGCCTGCCCCGCTCAGACTCCTCCGTCTCGGGTCATCCAGACCTCTTGGTTCTCCAAGTGCGGGGAAGTCTTCGGCAGAACTCCGGTGTTTTCCCAAACTCCTGCCGCCCTCCCTTTGCGTTCTGTCTGAGGTGTCTTCCCTCTTCTTACTTTCGGTTTTAGCCAAAGAACTTTCAGCAGTGTTAACCTGCCTATTTTTATTAGTTTTCTTACCCATAAGTTTCCCACGAGTAGCTAGGGGAGTAATGGTCCGCTCCTATAGAGCCCCGCATATAGGAGTAAGGGGTAGTTACGATGGGGTTCCCCCTTGTGCCTCAAAGGGATCGTTCTCGACATTGCTCCCCCAATGCCACGCAGCCCTTAGCATCAGAGGCGCCAGGTTTCAGAAAACCTCGTTGGTGCTGATGTGCATGCACCGGCATTTATGAGGGGGGGTGAACAGCCTGTCGGTGGCGAAAAAACTTCTTCAGAAGCCACGTCCAAAAACGTTTACCAGCATTCTTTAATTTACATTCGGACGAGTGTCTAAGAAGGGAATTGTAATACATTTCAAACAACGTAGTTCACACCTTTCCATATTCGTTTTCCAGCTGCGGGAACTAGTGTTGCTTGGTGCTTGCGTAAGTTTTTTGCGGTGTCTGCTAAAATTGGAAAAAAAAGACGGCTATAAGGGTAGAGAGTAGAGTGTTTTCACAGCTATCAGAACAATACCCACTTCTACCACGTAAAAGCCCCCCTCCAGCATAGCCATCATACCACTACCCACCTCCACTGTAAACCCCCTTCCGTGAAGCTCCTACCCTGAGGAGGTACTTTTTACCCACCTCCACTGTAAACCGTCTTCCATAAAGCCCTCCATTAATCTATTTTCAAAAGGCTCCTACCCTGAGATGGCACTTTTTTATATCCTTCCACTTTTTTGAAAACTAAATAATATTTAACCAATTCGCCAATTTTGTAGTTGGCCCGAGTCAAATCCCCAAAATTTCAGATCAAAGGCGCCGCCGATCTAGAGATTTTCCCACGGTATCGAAAAACTTCCTAGGCTCAAGCGGCCCCAGCTATCAGACTATCAGATTCACAAGCAAAATATTTATTATTGCAATAAAATTGATGCACCTGTTTATGACCAATACCCACCTCACAGCTATCAGAGCAATACCCGCACCTCCACTACGTCAAAAAGCTTCTACTCTGAACAGGTACCTCTTTCCATTCCATTCACTTTCTTGAAAACTAAAGAATATTTCAACAATTCTTGCATTTGTATTCGTCAATAGTGTTCTAAACTCCATGAGATTAATTTTATTGCAATAATAACAATTTGCTTGTGAATTTGGTGGACCACTTACGTAGTAGAGGTGGGTATTATTGGTCTGATAGCTGGGGGCACTTGAGCCTGGGAAATTTTTCGATACCGTTGGAAAATCTCTAGATCGGCGACGCTTTTGATCTGAAATTTTGGGGATTTGACCCGGGCCAACCCCAAAATTGACGAATACAAATGATATACGAATGAAAATATTACCGGAACGGCGTTCAGTAAATTCAGTACTGACAGAGTTGATATCGGAACATAACCTATATAAGGCTATAGTCCAAATATAACCAAACGTTAACCATTAGTTCTGTTCCAACAGACATGAGAACCGTTCCAGAACCAATAATTTCCAGTTGCCCACCTATTTTTCAATAAGTTGAACGTTTTTCCTAATTGACAAATGAAACTTTTTTTTTTGTAGAAGAAAAGGCCGCAATGATACCGTCAAAACAAAACTCGGGCAAAATCCCCACCAAACGCCTAGCGGACGGTACCACAAGGTAAGCACCAATATTCCACTAAAACCAAAACCCAAAAACTTGCTTGCAAAAGCTTTAAATTTTTGTTATTCGCCATTATTGCAGTCCGATGCCATTTTTGGACCGCCATTTTTACACTGACGCCGGGGTATCTTTGCCAATCAATTGTCCTAAAACAAAATCCCCAACCTTGAAAACTTCCAAGGAAGTTTCCAAACTGATAACTTCGGCTGAACATTTGACTTCTTGGCTCGACAATATTAGCATTACAGATGAAGTTAATGTGGAAACAAATATGACTGACGAGTTAAAGGCCAGAATAAGGCCTAATAAAAATAATACACAACAAAATGTTGTTAAAAGAAGGAGCCTGAATATGAGTAGTAGTAGTAAGATTCCGGTTGTTAACAGGTTGTCATACCATGAAAAATCCAAATCTGAACAAAGTTTGGATAAGCAAAAGTGCAATAATAATAATAAAGAATCCAAAATACCTTTGACGTTTAAAAGGTATTCTGCTTCTCAGGAAAATATAAGTGCCAAATTTAACTCAGGATTGTCTTTGACTAGAAGGTAAGGGCTTGGTTGCTTGTAAACTTTGTAATGATTTATTATTGAATATTTGAAGATTTTGGTTTTATTTTTTTCAGACGGACCTACTATAAGTAAAAGTATTAATCAGTATTTTGTTATTTGTTAGGGATTTTTTTTTTATATATATATTATATTTATATTATTATTATACCTATTGCTCTCTATATTTTGTAGGTTTTTTTTCTTTTATTGTAAAAGGGTAAGTATTTTTATATGTGCAATATATACTTTTGGATTTTTCATATATTGTAGGTAAGTAATTTATGTACAAGGTTATTTTAATTTGCCTATAATGTCATCTACTGCTTCAACAAAACTTGGGTAAACCCCTGTAGGCTTTATGGGCGATATAAGATTTTCATCGCCTGCCCGATATTTCCCAGTTTTGACCAAGTAACCTTTTAATCCTGCTTCTATTGCTCCTTTGACGTCATCGGTAACATCCTGAAAAATTCCAAAAATAAATAGGGTTGTTTTTTTAAAGAAAAACACATTATGTACTAACATCTCCTATCATGACAGCTTGACTAGGACTAATATCATCTAAAGCTGCCTGGAAAAACAATTTATTGGGTTTTCCAACTAAAGTTGCGCTACACTGAGCGGCATATTCCAGGCCTTTAACAAAACAACCTGGACCCAATGACAGTCCATCGGGGGCTTTATAATATTTCCCAGCGTGAATTGCTATTAGCTGAGCCCCATTTTGTAAATATCTAAAAAAAAAATGATCTACGAGTTCAGATGAATTTATCTACAGACGATGACGTATATAAAGACATCTACGAATCAAATTTGAGAAGACTTCATTGACAAAATACTTGGATTCCGCTGTTGCCAGCTGTGACTAAATGTAGTGTGTCATGAGCAAAGGCGGTTTAAAGGGGGAGGGGTAGAGGAGGTAATTACCCCTCCCAGACAAAGATTTTTTTTTTTCAATACATTTATTAATTACAATATTTCAACAAGACATAAGTTCTACAAAATAAAGCATTTAAAGGCATTGAAAATCATAAAATCATATAGCTCCATTAATAATAACTCATTTGCTTTGGGTTTTTAGAATTTTTTTGAATTGAACCTTTAGGAAAAAGTCTTCAAAATTTCAACTCTCCAATCACTTTAGTTTTTGAGTGAAAAAATTGTTTGTAAATTCTTACTTTACAAAACATCATTATTTTCAAAAAATCGTAACTCCATTAATAATAAGTCAATTGCTTTGAGTTTTTTGTATTTTTCACATTGAATCATTAGGAAACAGTCCTCAAAATTTCAACTTTCCCCTCACTTTAGTTTTTGAGTGAAAAAATTGTTTGTAAACTTTTACTTTATAAAACAGCATTATTTTCAAAAAATCGTAACTCCATTAATAATAACTCAATCGCTTTGGGTTTTAGGTATTTTTTACATTGATTTATTAGGAGAAAGTCCTCAAAATTTCAACTTTCCACTCACTTTAGTTTTTGAGTGAAAAAATTGTTTGGAAAGTCTTAGTTTACAAAACATCATTATTTTCAAAAAATCGTAACTCCATTAATAATAAATCAATTGCTTTGAGTTTTAGGTATTTTTTACATTGAATCATTAGGAAAAAGTCCTCAAAATTTCAACTTTCTACTTACTTTAGTTTTTGAGTGAAAAATTTGTTTGTAAAGTCTTACTTTACAAAACATCATTTTGTTCAAAAAATCGTAACTCCATTAATAGTAACTCAATCGTTTTGAGTTTTAGGTATTTTTTGCATTAAATCATTAGGAAAAAGTCCTCAAAATTTCAACTTTCCACTCACTTTAGTTTTTGAGTGAAAAATTTGTTTGTGAAGTCTTACTTTATAAAACATCTCGTAACTCTATTAATAATAACTCAATCGCTTTGAGTTTTAGGTATTTTTTACATTGAATAATTGAGAAAAAGTCCTCAAAATTTCAACTTTCCACTCACTTTAGTTTTTGAGTGAAAAAATTGTTTGTAAAGTCTTACTTTATAAAACAGCATTATTTTCAAAAAATCGTAACTCCATTATTAATAACTCAATCGCTTTGGATTTTAGGTATTTTTTACATTGAATCATGAGAAAAAAGTCCTCAAAATTTCAACCTTCTACTTACTTTAGTTTTTGAGTGAAAAATTTGTTTGTAAAGTCTTACTTTACAAAACATCATTATGTTCAAAAAATCGTAACTCCATTAATAGTAACTCAATCGTTTTGAGTTTTAGGTATTTTTTGCATTAAATCATTAGGAAAAAGTCCTCAAAATTCCAACTTTCCACTCACTTTAGTTTTTGAGTGAAAAAATTGTTTGTAAAGTCTTAGTTTACAAAACATCATTATTTTCAAAAAATCGTAACTCCATTGATAATAACTCAATCGTTTTGAGTTTTTGGTATTTTTTACATTGAATCATTAGGAAAAAGTCCTCAAAATTTCAACTTTCTACTCACTTTAGTTTTTGAGTGAAAAAATTGTTTGTAAAGTCTTACTTTATAAAACATCATTATTTTCAAAAAATCATAACTCTATTAATAATAACTCAATCGCTTTGAGTTTTAGGTATTTTTTACATTGAATAATTGAGAAAAAGTCTTCAAAATTTCAACTTTCCACTCACTTTAGTTTTTGAGTGAAAAAATTGTTTGTAAAGTCTTACTTTATAAAACAGCATTATTTTCAAAAAATCGTAACTTCATTATTAATAACTCAATCGCTTTGGATTTTAGGTATTTTTTACATTGAATCATTAGGAAAATGTCCTCAAAATTTCAACCTTCTACTTACTTTAGTTTTTGAGTGAAAAATTTGTTTGTAAAGTCTTACTTTACAAAACATCATTATGTTCAAAAAATCGTAACTCCATTAATAGTAATTCAATCGTTTTGAGTTTTAGGTATTTTTTGCATTAAATCATTAGGAAAAAGTCCTCAAAATTTTAACTTTCCATTCCACTCACTTTAGTTTTTGAGTGAAAAATTTGTTTGAAAAGTCTTACTTTACAAAACATCATTATGTTCAAAAAATCGTAACTCCATTAATAGTAACTCAATCGTTTTGAGTTTTAGGTATTTTTTGCATTAAATCATTAGGAAAAAGTCCTCAAAATTTCAACTTTCCACTCACTTTAGTTTTTGAGTGAAAAATTTGTTTGTGAAGTCTTACTTTATAAAACATCATTATTTTCAAAAAATCGTAAATCCATAAATAATAACTCAATCGCTTCGAGTTTTTGGTATTTTTTACATTGAATTATTAGGAAAAAGTCCTCAAAATTTCAACTTTCCACTCACTTTAGTTTTTGAGTGAAAAAATTGTTTGTAAAGTCTTACTTTATAAAACAGCATTATTTTCAAAAAATCGTAACTCCATTATTAATAACTCAATCGCTTTGGATTTTAGGTATTTTTTACATTGAATCATGAGAAAAAAGTCCTCAAAATTTCAACCTTCTACTTACTTTAGTTTTTGAGTGAAAAATTTGTTTGTAAAGTCTTACTTTACAAAACATCATTATGTTCAAAAAATCGTAACTCCATTAATAGTAACTCAATCGTTTTGAGTTTTAGGTATTTTTTGCATTAAATCATTAGGAAAAAGTCCTCAAAATTCCAACTTTCCACTCACTTTAGTTTTTGAGTGAAAAAATTGTTTGTAAAGTCTTAGTTTACAAAACATCATTATTTTCAAAAAATCGTAACTCCATTGATAATAACTCAATCGTTTTGAGTTTTTGGTATTTTTTACATTGAATCATTAGGAAAAAGTCCTCAAAATTTCAACTTTCTACTCACTTTAGTTTTTGAGTGAAAAAATTGTTTGTAAAGTCTTACTTTATAAAACATCATTATTTTCAAAAAATCGTAACTCTATTAATAATAACTCAATCGCTTTGAGTTTTAGGTATTTTTTACATTGAATAATTGAGAAAAAGTCTTCAAAATTTCAACTTTCCACTCACTTTAGTTTTTGAGTGAAAAAATTGTTTGTAAAGTCTTACTTTATAAAACAGCATTATTTTCAAAAAATCGTAACTTCATTATTAATAACTCAATCGCTTTGGATTTTAGGTATTTTTTACATTGAATCATTAGGAAAATGTCCTCAAAATTTCAACCTTCTACTTACTTTAGTTTTTGAGTGAAAAATTTGTTTGTAAAGTCTTACTTTACAAAACATCATTATGTTCAAAAAATCGTAACTCCATTAATAGTAACTCAATCGTTTTGAGTTTTAGGTATTTTTTGCATTAAATCATTAGGAAAAAGTCCTCAAAATTTTAACTTTCCACTCACTTCAGTTTTTGAGTGAAAAAATTGTTTGTAAAGTCTTACTTTACAAAACATCATTATTTTCAAAAAATCGTAACTCCATTGATAATAACTCAATCGTTTTGAGTTTTTGGTATTTTTTACATTGAATCATTAGGAAAATATCCTCAAAATTTCAACTTTCCACTCACTTTAGTTTTTGAGTGAAAAAATTGTTTGTAAAGTCTTACTTTACAAAACATCATTATTTTCAAAAAATCGTAACTCCATTAATAAAAACTCAATCGCTTTGAGTTTTTGGTATTTTTTACATTGAATCATTAGGAAAAAGTCCTCAAAATTTCAACTTTCCACTCACTTTAGTTTTTGAGTGAAAAAATTATTTGTAAAGTTGTACCTTACAAAACATCATTATTTTTAAAAAATCGTAACTCCATCAATAATAACTCAATCGCTTTGAGTTTTTAGTATTTTTTACATTGAATCATTAGGAAAAAGTCCTCAAAATTTCAACTTTCCACTCACTTTAGTTTTTGAGTGAAAACATTGTTTGTAGAATATTACTTTACAAAACATCATTATTTTCAAAAAATCGTAACTCCATTAATAATAACTCAATCGCTTTGAGTTTTTGGTATTTTTTACATTGAATCATTAGAAAAAAGTCCTCAAAATTTCAACTTTTTACTCACTTTAGTTTTTGAGTAAAAAAATTGTAAAGTCTTACTTTATAAAACACCATTATTTTCAAAAAATCGTAACTCCATTAATAATAACTCAATTGCTTTGAGTTTTTGGTATTTTTTACATTGAATCATTAGGAAAAAGTCCTCAAAATTTCAACTTTCCACTCACTTCAGTTTTTGAGTGAAAAAATTGTTTGTAAAGTCTTACTTTATAAAACATCATTATTTTCTTAAAATCGTAACTCCATTATTAATAACTCAATCGCTTTGAGTTTTTGGTATTTTTTACATTGAATCATTAGGAAAAAGTCCTCAAAATGTCAACTTTACACTCACTTTAGTTTTTGAGTGAAAAAATTGTTTGTAAAGTTTACTTTACAAAACATCATTATTTTCAAAAAATCGTAACTCCATTAATATTAACTCAATCGCTTTGAGTTTTTAGTGTTTTATACATATGATTTTCCCGTCATCCATCCCACCCCCCCCCCCCCCCCTTCCACAAGATAATCATGTATGGAACGCCACCAGTGGCGGTCCATACATGATTTTCTGGGGGGGGGGTAATGGATGAAAGGAAAATTATGAAGTGTCGCAACGTACCGCCGGAGGCTAAATTTTTTTTGGGGTGCCACGCCCAATTTGCATCCGAAAGTCGTTCAAAAAATACGCCTCAACGTTCATTGGCCTCAACTGTATCCCGATGCCGTCAAAATATTATACAGGGTGTTCACCTAGTGCGATATCGGACGATATCTCCTTACAGGGTGATGCAAGAAAAAAAAATTAAATTACAAAGTTGTTTGATTTTCTAAGTTGCATTAGTTGAAAATATTTTTAAATATACAGGGTGCTCCGAGGGATGGTCCGTAAATGAGGTATGCGAAAGAACTTTGTTATTTTTAAATGGAACACCCTATATTTCAGTACATTATTGGATCGTTGTAAAAATCCTACATAGTTTTTGCACAGCTTTTTGTTAGGAATCACCTATACTTAAACTTACCCGTTTTTGAAATATTTATGGCCATTTCCACAAACTATTTTAGGGGAGCCCTAACGATATAGGTATTCCCTAAAATGACATTTTTACATGAAGAAATGTCAGATTAAGGCATACTTATCGTTAAGGCTCTCCTAAAATAGTTAGTGGAAACGGCCATTATTATTTTTTCAAAAAATCGCAGTTTGCATGTTTCAACAAAAACCAACAAATGGAATACACTTTATCTCACTGTATAGAAGAAGGTACGAATCTAAGAATAACTGTTCAATCCTCGTTATTCTATCATACACCATCGCTGAGATTAAAGTATGTGTGACGTCACGTGAGCTTTGTCCAGCCATTTTGTTCATTTGATTGTTTTCGGCACCTGTCACCTTGTCAGAGGTTTTTGTTTAGATTATTGCAGGTGGCACTGGAAAAACATATAGGTAAATTTGATGAACTTCACTATTTCCTGCGGCGCTCGAGCTTTCGTGACGTCACAGGGTGAGACACAGTATCTTTATAAAGCCGTATCTTCGGTATTATTTTTCATAGAGGGGTGCGGTTTTCACTGTTATTCTTAGATTTTTCTTTTTTATTTTTATATAAAGTTGTTTTTGTGGCACACACACACACCTCCTTTAATTTTGCCAATATTTTAGTGCTGACAATAAGTGGCAACATTGCTAAAATTCAAATTGTGACCAGTGTTGCCAGATCTCACGATTATTCGTAAGATTACACGATTTTGTTCAAAATTTCGCGATCTCACGAATGAGGTAGCAATTCTTACGAATTCTCTCTGTAGTAATACAAATCAGTAATTAAATTTAATTGAAAATAGTCGAAATAAAAATCTACTATACAATATTTACTTAGTTATGTTACGCCGTTCCTGGTACTTGCGCGCCCAAGAATACTAACCTTATAGGACGGCTTATTGAGCTGAAAGTGTCTGGCATGTCAGCCTCAGAGCCCTCAGAACTCAACTCTTGGCGTAAAATTCATTATACGAGTTTTAAAACACTATAAGTCAAAGACACGAATTCCTAAACATTGAAATTACCTTTTTAAAATTAAAAATAGATGAAAAAATTAACTCACAAGTATAGACTGAATCGCAAGCAATACATCGAGGTTTGCGGATGACGTCACCATTATCAGCTGCTGATAGTGGTGACGTCACTCGCAGACCAGCTGCCGACTCGAGAGCTGGTGAACGTACGCCTTATTAAAATAAGCAATCCTGCGAATACTGAACTAAGTGGAAATAGGTTTCAGCTTTCAGGAACTCCTGCTAAAAACGGAAAAAACAAGGATACAAGATATAATAATAAAATGCTTATGAATGTAAAATCATGTTTATTTTATCATCATCTCACGATTTCTCTTTCTCGATTTTCACGAATTTTTTAAATTTTATCTGGCAACACTGATTGTGACTTAGTTATGAGGTAGTGCGGATTAAATTCCGTGTTTTTTGTATGTAGAGACTGTTGTAGAGAGTTTTCTTTTTTTATTTATTTTCTCAACAATAAACAAGGATATTACCTAAAAGCCTCATTTAGTCTGTCATAGTGAAACTCTGTAGGGGCCAAGCCTATAACAACAGAGTCTGGAGTTTCGTGGGGCTGGCAAGCCAAGCCTTGAAAGTCTTCAAGAGCCTCTGGAGCAACCATAAGCATTGGCTTTAACTTATTCTTTTCAATCAAATTCCTGCAAGCCCCCAATGAGCTTAAAATGTCATTTTTGTCCACATCAAAACCTAAACTCAGAAGCCTTTTGTGCAAAGTGTTTTTGCTTTCTTTAGTCGTATTTGTTACGAATTTGATTTTCAAATTTTGCTTCATCAATCTACAATAATTGTGTTTTGAGGTGTTTATTTTGCGAAAACATGGGGTACCTTTTTAGGGCTTCAACAGCCCCGGGAATAGCATGGTTTTCAATGTGCAAAGTACCACTTAAATCTATTAAGACTGCTTTAATCATTTTGAATTTGAAAATTATTTGAATTTTTTTTTTTTTGAGGTTATGGTCTAGTTGCGTTCCTCTTATTTGTCTCGGCCAATAATTATATACCCCGATTATATTGTTGTCTTTTTCTAATAAAATAAACTAAAAAGAGATACAAAATATTAATTTCCATGTGGCTAGTTTAACGAATTGACAGTTCTTTAATGGTAAATATTTTGAAAATATGATAAAGATTGTTTATTAAAAACCCGAGAAAAGTTTATTTTTAGCTTAAAGGTGAGCGGTGCAAGATGGGTTCAAATGAGGAAACAATTGAGGCCCTAAAAAAGTTGGGTTTGAGCCAACAAAAAGCGAAAGAAACATTGAAAAATGCCGCTGTTACCAAAACCCTACTTTCTATTTTAGATCAGGTAAGTTTTAATTAATTAATTAGTAACCAGATGGTACCGTTAATTGTTTAAGGAATGATGTTAATTTCGAGTCATTTTATACTAATAAGGGCTGGTTTTTTAATAGCAAGTCACCCCAAGTTAGGCATTAACTCCAGGTTAAACATACTGGACATGCTTACCTTGGAGTTAATTCGTCATTGAGAAACTGGCCCTTAAAGGTAGTTTTCAAGGCTGATTCAGATGCTTTTTTGGTAATAATTTGGAGGTTTTTTTTTTTATAACGTGATTAGGTCCTAATTAATAAAGTCCAATGAGTTTTTATTTATTTATTTGATTCTTATTTCTTGCTTCTTGGGGTTTAATTTTACATGTAAATCGCCCAGCGCCATCTCTTGACGGTTGAGTGTAGCTTTTAACAGTTTTAACTTTGACGCTTTTGTAAATCCCCACGATTTTAGCGCCATCTCGTGACAGTTGAATGTAACTATTAGCCAAATGGTATGTAATATTTAAAGTTGAGTTGTAGAGGGCGCTTTTTTAGTAATTTTGCTCTGACTCTTTTCGATCTGGTTCAACGAAAAAATGTAATGTTTCTGTAATTTGTGGACGCCAAAATACCAGTGGTGACGTAGGCAATGTGTCGTTTTTCGCCTTGACGTAGGGTGTTTACAAGAATAAGTGTTTGCACCGCAAGTTGTTATGATTGCGCTAGCTTTTAACAATCCAGACACGTAATTCAATATGGCCGTCCAGGTCAATTATTGTGCCCTTGTTGTAGATTCCGAACATAACAATGACAATGACCCAAACATCCAGAATTTGACAAAATAAGTAATTTTTCATTCAAGTAACAGGGTGTTTGACCCAAATGGCCATATTGAATTTTGTTTGACATATCCAATGGATTACCTACCTAATTAACATCCTAGAACAACCCTTATTTAGATCTTATTTGCATCTTTCTTCTTGCCTATTGTGTTAATCAAAATTCTTCATCATAAATATATATGTTCTTAATATTCTTGACTACGACCGCTGGCGCAAACAGCTAACAACACCGTTGATGACGTCAGCAACGGTGCAATACCAAATGTAATTTTAGCAATCCTATTCTATTCCTGAGGCATTTTTTCGCGTCTCAAATGTTTCAAAACTGGTTTAAGTAGTGTTACCGTGACGTCATAATTTCTCGGCGCCAGAAAATAGTTTGCAAACTTGGATTGAATTGTATTTCGAAACGGTTTGAACTAATTTTGATATGACGTCATGGGTTTATTGCGAGAATGTACTGTTTTGAACCAGTTTCAAAAAAATAAACGGCAGAAAACGCCTCTGTTGTGGTGTGTAATATCCTTGTTGTGCAGCCTAGCCGAGTGCAGAAATTCGCGTTTTCCACATATGTTTTTTGTAAAATCCAGTTTCTAGATGTTCATTTTCAAGAATTTCTCCTGTTGATGTTTTTAAATTTAAAAAAAAAAAAGTAAAATTTAAACGAAAAGGCGATTTGAAGAGGCACATGTTAACACACTCGGATATTTATCCTTTTGAATGTGACACTCGCAAAGTAAAATTTAAACGAAAAGGTGATTTGAAGAGGCACATGTTAACGCAATCGGATATTTATCCTTTTGAATGTGACACTTGCAAAGTAAAATTTGAACAAAAAGGCAATTGATAAATGCACATGTTAATACATTCGAATATTCATCCTCTTGAGTGTGACACTTGCAAAGTAAAATTTAAACGAGAAGGCCATTTGAAGACACAATGTTAACACACTCGGATATTTATCCTTCTGAATGTGACATATGCAAAATGAAATTTAAACAAAAAGGCAATTGGAAAATGCACATGGTAATACATTCGGATATTCATCCTCTTGAATGTGACACCTGCAAAGTAAAATTCAAACGAAAAGGCGATTTGAAGAGGCACATGTTAACACACTCAGATATTTATCCTTTTGAATGTGACACTTGCAAAGTAAAATTTAAACGAAAGGGAGATTTGAAGAGGAACATGTTAACACACTCGGATATTTATCCTTTTGAATGTGACATTTGCAAAGTGAAATTTGAACAAAAAGGCAATTGAAAAATGCACATGTTAATACATTCGAATATTCATCCTCTTGAATGTGACACTTGCAAAGTAAAATTTAAACGAGAAGGCCATTTGAAGACACAATGTTAACACACTCGGATATTTATCCTTCTGAATGTGACATTTGCAAAATGAAATTTAAACAAAAAGGCAATTGGAAAATGCACATGTTAATACATTCGGATATTCATCCTCTTGAATGTGACACCTGCAAAGTAAAATTCAAACGAAAAGGCGATTTGAAGAGGTACATGTTAACAGACTCGGATATTTATCCTTTTGAATGTGACACTTGCAAAGTAAAATTTAAACGAAAGGGAGATTTGAAGAGGAACATGTTAACACACTCGGATATTTATCCTTTTGAATGTGACATTTGCAAAGTGAAATTTGAACAAAAAGGCAATTGAAAAATGCACATGTTAATACATTCGAATATTCATCCTCTTGAATGTGACACTTGCAAAGTAAAATTTAAACGAGAAGGCCATTTGAAGACACAATGTTAACACACTCGGATATTTATCCTTCTGAAAGTGACATTTGCAAAATGAAATTTAAACAAAAAGGCAATTGGAAAATGCACATGTTAATACATTCGAATATTCATCCTCTTGAGTGTGACACTTGCAAAGTAAAATTTAAACGAGAAGGCCATTTGAAGACACAATGTTAACACACTCGGATATTTATCCTTCTGAATGTGACATATGCAAAATGAAATTTAAACAAAAAGGCAATTGGAAAATGCACATGGTAATACATTCGGATATTCATCCTCTTGAATGTGACACCTGCAAAGTAAAATTCAAACGAAAAGGCGATTTGAAGAGGCACATGTTAACACACTCAGATATTTATCCTTTTGAATGTGACACTTGCAAAGTAAAATTTAAACGAAAGGGAGATTTGAAGAGGAACATGTTAACACACTCGGATATTTATCCTTTTGAATGTGACATTTGCAAAGTGAAATTTGAACAAAAAGGCAATTGAAAAATGCACATGTTAATACATTCGAATATTCATCCTCTTGAATGTGACACTTGCAAAGTAAAATTTAAACGAGAAGGCCATTTGAAGACACAATGTTAACACACTCGGATATTTATCCTTCTGAATGTGACATTTGCAAAATGAAATTTAAACAAAAAGGCAATTGGAAAATGCACATGTTAATACATTCGGATATTCATCCTCTTGAATGTGACACCTGCAAAGTAAAATTCAAACGAAAAGGCGATTTGAAGAGGTACATGTTAACAGACTCGGATATTTATCCTTTTGAATGTGACACTTGCAAAGTAAAATTTAAACGAAAGGGAGATTTGAAGAGGAACATGTTAACACACTCGGATATTTATCCTTTTGAATGTGACATTTGCAAAGTGAAATTTGAACAAAAAGGCAATTGAAAAATGCACATGTTAATACATTCGAATATTCATCCTCTTGAATGTGACACTTGCAAAGTAAAATTTAAACGAGAAGGCCATTTGAAGACACAATGTTAACACACTCGGATATTTATCCTTCTGAAAGTGACATTTGCAAAATGAAATTTAAACAAAAAGGCAATTGGAAAATGCACATGTTAATACATTCGAATATTCATCCTCTTGAGTGTGACACTTGCAAAGTAAAATTTAAACGAGAAGGCCATTTGAAGACACAATGTTAACACACTCGGATATTTATCCTTCTGAATGTGACATATGCAAAATGAAATTTAAACAAAAAGGCAATTGGAAAATGCACATGGTAATACATTCGGATATTCATCCTCTTGAATGTGACACCTGCAAAGTAAAATTCAAACGAAAAGGCGATTTGAAGAGGCACATGTTAACACACTCAGATATTTATCCTTTTGAATGTGACACTTGCAAAGTAAAATTTAAACGAAAAGGCGATTTGAAGAGGCACATATTAACACACTCGGATATTTATCCTTTTGAATGTGACACTTGCAAAATGAAATTTAAACAAAAAGGCAATTGGAAAATGCACATGGTAATACATTCGGATATTCATCCTCTTGAATGTGACACTTGCAAAGTAAAATTTAAACGAAAAGGCGATTTGAAGAGGCACATGTTAACACACTCAGATATTTATCCTTTTGAATGTGACACTTGCAAAGTAAAATTTAAACGAAAGGGAGATTTGAAGAGGAACATGTTAACACACTCGGATATTTATCCTTTTGAATGTGACATTTGCAAAGTGAAATTTGAACAAAAAGGCAATTGAAAAATGCACATGTTAATACATTCGAATATTCATCCTCTTGAATGTGACACTTGCAAAGTAAAATTTAAACGAGAAGGCCATTTGAAGACACAATGTTAACACACTCGGATATTTATCCTTCTGAATGTGACATTTGCAAAATGAAATTTAAACAAAAAGGCAATTGGAAAATGCACATGTTAATACATTCGGATATTCATCCTCTTGAATGTGACACCTGCAAAGTAAAATTCAAACGAAAAGGCGATTTGAAGAGGTACATGTTAACAGACTCGGATATTTATCCTTTTGAATGTGACACTTGCAAAGTAAAATTTAAACGAAAGGGAGATTTGAAGAGGAACATGTTAACACACTCGGATATTTATCCTTTTGAATGTGACATTTGCAAAGTGAAATTTGAACAAAAAGGCAATTGAAAAATGCACATGTTAATACATTCGAATATTCATCCTCTTGAATGTGACACTTGCAAAGTAAAATTTAAACGAGAAGGCCATTTGAAGACACAATGTTAACACACTCGGATATTTATCCTTCTGAATGTGACATTTGCAAAATGAAATTTAAACAAAAAGGCAATTGGAAAATGCACATGTTAATACATTCGAATATTCATCCTCTTGAGTGTGACACTTGCAAAGTAAAATTTAAACGAGAAGGCCATTTGAAGACACAATGTTAACACACTCGGATATTTATCCTTCTGAATGTGACATTTGCAAAATGAAATTTAAACAAAAAGGCAATTGGAAAATGCACATGGTAATACATTCGGATATTCATCCTCTTGAATGTGACACCTGCAAAGTAAAATTCAAACGAAAAGGCGATTTGAAGAGGCACATGTTAACACACTCAGATATTTATCCTTTTGAATGTGACACTTGCAAAGTAAAATTTAAACGAGAAGGCCATTTGAAGACACAATGTTAACACACTCGGATATTTATCCTTTTGAATGTGACACTCGCAAAGTAAAATTTAAACGAAAAGGTGATTTGAAGAGGCACATGTTAACGCAATCGGATATTTATCCTTTTGAATGTGACACTTGCAAAGTGAAATTTAAACAAAAAGGTAATTGAAAAATGCACATGATAATACATTCGGATATTCATCCTCTTGAATGTGACACTTGCAAAGTAAAATTTAAACGAAAAGGTGATTTGAAGAGGCACATGTTAACGCAATCGGATATTTATTCTTTTGAATGTGACACTTGCAAAGTAAAATTTGAACAAAAAGGTAATTGAAAAATGCACATGATAATACATTCGGATATTCATCCTCTTGAATGTGACACTTGCAAAGTAAAATTTAAACGAAAAGGCGATTTGAAGAGGCACATGTTAACACACTCGGATATTTCTCCTTTTGAATGTGACATTTGCAAAGTGGAATTTAAACAAAAATGCAATTGGAAAATGCACATGTTAATGCATTCGGATATTTATGCTCTTGAATGTGACACTTGCAAAGTAAAATTTAAACGAAAAGGCGATTTGAAGAGGCACATGTTAACGCACTCGGATATTTATTCTTTTGAATGTGACACTTGCAAAGTAAAATTTAAACAAAAAGGCGATTTGAAGAGGCACATGTTAACACACTCGGATATTCGTCCTTTTGAATGTGACACTTAGAGCTGAAAATAATGAAGTGAGACACAGCGATATAAGAAATTCAATGAGTAAAACAGAGACACAGATGAAATAAGATACAAAAAAATCAATCAAAAAAAAATTGTGGCACGAATTTCGAGTGGCCTTGTAATTTTTGTGTTCGGCCAATGGAGAGCCTGGAACAATAAAACAAGAGACAGTGGTAAAAGATATTCGATGGGTAAAAGAGAGACACAGATAAAGTAGAAACAAAATCGAGACACGAATTTTCATTTTTCCCGGCTTTTGAGTGATCTTTAAATTTTCATGTCTGAACAATGGAGAGCTTCAAACAATAATTGAAGTGAAAAAAATAACAATATATGAAATTCAATGAGTAAGAGAGAAACATTGTAATTTTTGTGTTTGGCCAATGGAGAACCTGGAACAATCAAACAAGAGACAGTGATATAAGATATTTGCTGGGTAAGAGAGAGACACAGATAAAGTAGAAACAGAATCGAGACACGAATTTCTATTTTTCTCGGCTTTTGAATGATCTTTAAATTTTTGTGTCTGAACTGAATGAAGTGCTTCAAACTCCCATTCTTCCTCTTTTCATCCAACAAGAATTTCTCCTGTTGATGCTTTTCACTGAATCTATTTGAAATTTCACCCAAATGAGCTCCCATTCTTCCTCTTTTCATCCAGAAAATTTCGAAATTATCCCTGCAACAGTTTTCCAGAAAAAAAATCAAATATGCAAGAGTGTTTGTTTATTTTTTTGCCCAACTAATTTACATTTATCAATAAACACATTTTTTTCTAGGTAAAAGGTGTATCATGTTCAGACGGAATCGGTACCCTCCTCTATCATCTAGGTACCAAAATAAAACCTCAAATAGCCCACCATTTGCCACTAATAGTCAAACAAATAACCACCCAAAAACTAGACAACACTCTGCGAGTGGATAAAGCAATAGAATTTGCACTGTCCCACATAAATAACATTGATTCTAATGAACTAGAAAAATATTGCGGTGTAGGAATCATTGTTACTCCAGAACAAGTTGAAAAATGTGTAGAACAGCAAATGAAAATCTTCAAAAACGAGCTTCTGGAAAAACGTTACAGATTCAATGCTGGACCTTTAATGCAAAAAGTCAGAGAAGAATTACCTTGGGCAGATGGAAAAGCAATCAAAAACGAAATCGATTTGCAAATACTGGACATTTTGGGACCTAAAAATGAAGCAGATTTGGCTCCAGTGTCCAAAAAAAACCCTAAAGTTGCCAAGGTTGTTGAAAAACCCAAAAATACTGAAGAGAATTCGAAAGACCAACAACAACCACAAAGCCTTACCATTATAGATGTGATGAGGAAAGTTAATTTCCACAAGCCTGGAGAAAACTATAAAACTGATGGTTATATAGTGACTGAAAATACACAGAAACTATTAAAGGAACATTTGAAATTAACTGGAGGCAAGGTACCTAAATATTACAAGCTTGTAATAATTGTGATAATATATAGTGTTTCATTTTTAGATTAGAACCAGATTTCCTCCAGAACCCAATGGCATTCTTCATATTGGCCATGCCAAAGCAATTAACATTAATTTTGGATATGCTGCAGCCAATGATGGCCTGTGCTTTCTGCGTTATGATGACACCAACCCTGAAAAAGAAGAGGAAAAATTCTTTACAGGAATCCTGGATATGGTTACTTGGTTGGGCTACAAGCCCTACAAAATAACCCATTCTTCTGACTATTTTGATCAGTTGTATGAGTGGGCTGTTGAGCTAATCAAAAAAGGGCTGGCGTATGTTTGCCATCAAAGTGCTGACGAAATGAAAGGGTTTAATCCTCAGCCTTCGCCTTGGAGAGAGAGGCCTGTTGAAGAAAATCTACAATTATTTCAGGTAAATTTCAACTAAATCTCAACATAGCTTAGAAAGCCCATGAGCTATTGAAACAAATTTAGCCCAATTTTAAAGAGAATTTAATACTCATTAATTATTTGGGACATAAGCAATTACATTGATTGTTTTAGGATATGAAAAATGGCAAAATTGACGAAGGCGCAGCCACTTTGCGAATGAAAATCACCCTAGAAGAAGGTAAACTGGACCCTGTAGCTTATAGAGTCAGGTTTGTTCCACATCACAGAACTGGAGACAAGTGGTGCGTTTACCCCACCTATGATTTTACTCATTGCCTTTGTGATAGCATTGAAAATATCACTCACTCCTTATGTACAAAAGAGTTTCAATCAAGAAGATCCAGCTACTATTGGCTGTGTAATGCTTTGGACATTTACTGTCCTGTCCAATGGGAATATGGGAGATTGAATGTTAATTATACAGTGGTTTCTAAAAGGAAAATTGCCAAGTTGATTAGTGAAGGGGTTGTCAATGACTGGAATGATCCAAGGTTGTTCACGTTGACAGCTTTGAGAAGAAGAGGATTTCCTGCAGAAGCTGTTAATAATTTTTGTGCCCAATTGGGAGTAACTGGGGCTCAGAGTACTGTGGATCCGTCAATGTTGGAGGCTTATGTGAGGGATTATTTGAATAATGTTGCTCCAAGGTAAGATACATGTTTTTGTAATTTTTTAATTTGAATTTTTAGTATGTTTTGCCTCAAAAATATTTCCTCAAAATCTCATGTTTGCGCCTCAAGTAGTCTTTGAGTAAATGGTCAGAATGTAGAGGCATGTTATATTTAGCCTTATAGGGGAAAATGTTCATTTTTGAAAACCTTGTAACTTTGTAAGTTTTGGGTCAAATGATTTGAATTTTTAGTATGTTTTACCTCTAAATCTCAAAAATATTCTCTCAAAATCTCATATTTATACCTCAAGTGGTTTTTGAGTAAATGGTGAAAATGTAGAAACATGTCATATTCAGTCTTATAGGCGAAAATGTTCATTTTTGAAAACCTTGTAACTTTGTAAGTTTTGAGTCAAATGATTTGAATTTTTAGTATATTTTACCTCTAGGTCTCAAAAATATTCCCTCAAAATCTCATATTTCTGCCTTAAATAATTTTTGAGCAAATGGTAAAAATGTAGAGGTATATCATATTCAGTCTTATAGGGAAAAACATTCATTTTTGAAAACCTTGTAAGTTTTTGGTCATTTGATTTAAATTTTTAGTATGTATTACCTCTAAGTCTCAAAAATATTCCCTCAAAATCTCATATTTGTATCTCAAGTAGTTTTTGAGTAAATGGTGAAAATGTAGAGGCATGTCATATTCACTCTTATAGGGGAAAATGTTCATTTTTGAAAACTTTGTAACTTTGTAAATTTTGAGTTAAATGATTTGAATTTTTAATATGTTTTACCTCTAAGTCTCACAAATATTCCCTCAAAATCTCATATTTGAATCTCAAGTAGTTTTTGAGTAAATGGTGAAAATGTAGAGGTATATCATATTCAGTCTTAAAAGGGAAAATGTTCATTTTTGAAAACCTTGTAACTTTGTAAGTTTTGGGTCAAATGATTTGAATTTTTAGTATGTTTTGCCTCTAAGTCTCAAAAATATTCCCTCAAAATTTCATATTTGTGTCTCAAGTAGTTTTTGAGTAAATGGTGAAAATGTAGAGGTATGTCATATTCAGCCTTATAGGGGAAAATGTTCATTTTTGAAAACCTTGTAACTTTGTAAGTTTTTGGTCAATTGATTCGAATTTTTAGTATATTTCACCTCTAAGTCTCAAAAATATTCCCTCAAAATCTCATATATGTGTCTCAAGTAGTTTTTGAATAAATAGTTAATTGTATTTATTCTTAGGCATATGGTTGTATTGGAACCCCTTAAATTAACCATCACCAATTACCCGCACCCTCAACCAACTACCATATCGGTGCCCAACTTTCCAAACGACCCAAAATTGGGCAACCACTCAATTGCCTTCGACAAAACCATTTACATAGAGAAAAGTGACTTTATGGAAGTGGGCAATAAAGGCTTTAGACGTCTGACTAAAACCCAATCTGTGGGCTTGAAACATGCAGGCCTTGTCCTTGAAGTTGTTGACATCAGAAAAGATGCTTCAGGTGAAGTTTCTGAGGTTGTTTGCGAGTGTATTGAAGCTGAAAAGGCACCCAGTAAGCCTAAGGCTTTTATCCATTGGGTGGCTGATCCTGTTCAGATTGAAGTGAGACTTTATTCTTCATTGTAAGTAGAATATTTGTGTCTTTTTTTATTTTTCTTATCATGTTCATTATAACTAGATTCAAACATAAAAATCCTGAAGATGTCAATGAAGTGCCAAATGGTTTTTTGTCTGATTGCGATCCAGATTCTTTGCAAGTTTTACAGAGTCTTGCAGATAAGTCTTTGCAAGGGGCTAAGGTACTTGACAGGTTCCAGTTTGAGAGGATGGGGTACTTTTCAGTGGATCCTGATTCTAAACAAGATAAGGTAAGAGTTGTTTGGCTGTCAAAAAAATGGGCTTTATAAGGGTTGTTTTGATGTTTCAGATTGTTGTCAATAGGACTGTGGGGCTTAAGGAGGATACTGGTAAATGAGATTGTTGATGGGATTTTATTTATAACAATTTTGTTTTAATATTAATAAAAAGCAATTGATAATTATTACTGTGTTTTATTTAAAAAAATTTACCTCTTTGCATTTCTGTGTTCCTGATAGGAAATTCGATTTTGTATCAGGAACACAGAAATGTAAACTGAAAATTTTAGGAAAAATACCTCTTCGCGTTTCTGCTCTCCTGATACAAAATTGGATTTTCAGGAAAATTTTAACATTTTTATTTCGTACCAGGAGAGCAGAAATGCGAAGAGGTATTTTTCATCTTTTCGCGTTCCTGTGTTCCTAATACAAAATTTTATTTTCGAGAAAATTTTAACATTTTTATTTTGTATCAGGAGAGCAGAAATGCGAAGAGGTATTTTTCATCTCTTTACATTCCTGTGTTCCTGATACAAAATAAAAAATTTTGGGAAATTTTAAAAATTTATTTTGTATCAGGAGAACAGAAGTGCGAAGAGGTATTTTTCATCTCTTCACATTTCTGTGTTCCTGATACAAAATCGGATTTTTCAGAAAATTTCAAAATTCTCAATTTTGTATCAGGAACACAGGAAGGTTAAGAGATGAAAAATACCTCTTCACGTTCCTGCTCTCCTGATACAAAATTGAAAATTTTGAAATTTTCTGAAAAATCCGATTTTGTATCAGGAACACAGGAACGTGAAGAGATGAAAAATACCTCTTTGCGTTTCTGCTCTCCTGATACAAAATAAAAATGTTAAAATTTTCTCAAAAATAAAATTTTGTATTAGGAACACAGGAACGCGAAGAGATGAAAAATACCTCTTCGCGTTTCTACTAATACAAAATAAATTTTTAAAATTTTCCTAAAATTTTTATTTTGTATCAGGAACACAGAAATGCAAAGAGATGAAAAATTTTAGGAAAAATACCTCCTTTCATTTCTGTGCTCCTGATACGAAATATTTTTCACAAAATACTAAAATTCTTCCAAAAATCCTAATTTGTATTAGACAAAATACCTCCTCGCGTTTCTGTGCTCCTGTTTTTTCCGAAAAATTTGTACCAGGAACACAGAAACGCAAAGAGGTAAATTTCCATAGGGATAACAAAATAAAAACACCAAAAAATGGAAAGTAATTTTTATATTTCACATAATTAATTACATATTTTACAAGTACAAAGGAGTAGATTAATAAAATATAAATAAAACAAAACATTTCAAACAGGGTGTAAAAAGACAGTAAAATCATTGCGCTAACATCCTCACGTCTCTATCCCCGTCACTCTGCAACCTACGCAAAACCTTATTCAACAACTCTATATGATTATTTTCCGGATCCTGGAAATACTCCTTTCTGAGTATGTGATTGACGATACAATTGGCAACCACCAGTCTCACATTGGCAACAGGATCCCAACTTAAATCCAACAAATGTGGCAACAGCGCAGACGCAAACTCTTCTGAGTCCATAGCCTCGTTTCTGAGTAGTTCAATGCAAAGGAGGGCGAAGGTTTGACGCGGCTTCCATTTTTTCGAGTGGGCAAATCTCTCGGCAATGACTGACAAGTAGCTTGAGGCAAGGGCGTGTTCAGTGAAGATTTGTTTGGCGATTTCAGTAACCTGGAATAAAAACAATATGATTATTGATTGAATTTTTGACAGGTGACAGTTATTTTTTTATGCGAAAAAATCAGTTTGACGTTAATTTAGCTTCAAATGTGTATCAGAAGACCGTCGTCAATTATCATCATGAAATCGGAGCAGTGCAAAAAAAAAACAGAGTTAGTGCAAATGGAACAAAAATTGGAACACTTAGAGTAACTCGAACAATAAAAAGAATTAATGAAAATGAAGTAACTTAAATCAAGTTAGTGTAAATGGAACAGAATTAGAACAGTAATTTGGGCACTTAAACAGATCAAAAAGAGTCAGTGCACTTGGAACAGTCAGAGTAGAATTATTGCCCCAAATACAGAAGCGCCCTCTACAACTCAACTTTGAATATTACATGCCATTATATAGCGTCAACGGAAAATTGTTTGAACGGAAAATTATTCGAACAGAAAATTGTTTGAATGGAAAATTATTCGAAAGGAAAATTGTTCGGAACAATTTTTCTTTCAAATAATTTTCCGTTCGAATAATTTTCCGTTCAAACAATTTTCCATTGACGCTATATAATGGCATGTAATATTCAAAGTTGAGTTGTAGAGGGCGCTTCGAACAATTTTCCGGGACTCGCCATTATAGTAATTATATCCTATTCGCAATCTGTAGTCGAAAGGTACAGGTAAATTTATCATCTTTTCTTATCAAATAGCATTGCAGTTGATATATTTTACCTGCACTTTTCGACTACAGATTGTGAATAGATAATATAAAGTTACTTACCAAAATCATAGCGGCCTGTCGTACAGCGGCAACATTGTAAAGCATCAACGCTTGCGCGTACAATCCAATATGTTTGACAACATCGGCAGTACTAAAGAGTTGTACACACAATGTTAATTGCTCGGCAAATTTTTCCTGGAATCGCCAATTGCATACGTCATCTTTGCGTAGAAATTGCCCCAAATTTGGTAGGAAAATGGCTCTTTTTTCTGGTGACATCAGCTTCAAAAACTCAAACAAATTGTTCAAAACTCCAATGCGGACTTCGTCCAGGTCTTTTAAAAATCCTTCAAACAGTGGTGCCAAGTCTTCAGTTGCAATTTCAGGTCCAAGAATAAGGGCGATTTCGTGTAGACTGCTTGCTACAGTTCTTCGGATTTTATAGGACATGTGGCCAGCCAATGCGTCTACAGTATTTTTGAGTAAAGGCCAATTGTCTTTGCCCAAAGTCAATACTACTGCTGGTAAACAGTAGGCGCAATGATATGACATTCCGTCGTAGATGTTTTCCCATGTTGCCATTGACACGAAATTGTCGATTAATTCTTGAGGAACTATTTTTTGAGGGGGTTCTTTGACTTCTTCTATTGTTGGCGTGGAGGTTTCTTCTATATTATCAGCTACATTGTTACCTGAAACAAGAAAATTTTTGGTTAAAAAAGGGTTGATTTGGCAACGTTGAAATTAGTTGGTTGATGGTAGAAAATCATAGTCTGCCTTATACAAAAGTGTCTTCATAGGAGTCGTTTTGTATATGTTATAATCATATTATGCATGTTCTTATATTTCATTTTTTTTCTGGAAAAATATACAAGGGAAAATTATAGAATTTTTAGGAAAGAAAGAGGAGAGTTAGGAGGCCATCATACTGAAATTTCAATTTTTTTCAGTGAAAAATAACAACATGGTAAATCAATGAAAAACAACTCATATTAACCAAAAATACACCATCTTACATTTTATTTTTTTTCGGGAAAATTGTCCAAGGGAAAATTATGAAATTTTCAGAAAAGAAAAAGGAAAGTTGGGAGATCATCATGCTGAAATTTTAAATTTTTTCAGTAAAAAATAACAACATGGTAAATCAATGAAAAACAACTTGTAAATTCCTAATTAACTAAAAATGCACCATCTTACATTTTATTTTTTTTCCGGAAAATTGTCCAAAGGAAAATTATGAAATTTTCAGGAAAGAAAGAAGAGAGTTAGGAGGTCATCATACTGAAATTTTAATTTTTTTCAGTGAAAAATAACGACATGGTAAATCAATGAAAATTAACTAAATTAGGCATAAATGCATCATCTTACATTTTATTTTTTTCCCGGAAAATTGTTCAAGGGAAAATTATGAAATTTTCAGGAAAGAAAGAGGAAAGTTAGGAGGTTGTCATACTGAAATTTCAATTTTTTTCAATGAAAAATAACGACATGGTAAATCAAAGAAAAACAACTCATATTAACCAAAAATGCACCATCTTACATTTTATTTTTTTTCCGGAAAACTATCCAAGGGAAAATTATGAAATTTTCAGGAAAGAAAGAGGAAAGTTAGGAGGTCATCATACTGAAATTTCAATTTTTTTCAGTGAAAAATAACGACATGGTAAATCGATGAAAATTAACTAAATTAGGCATAAATGCATCATCTTACATTTTATTTTTTTCCCGGAAAACTGTTCAAGGGAAAATTATGAAATTTTCAGGAAAGAAAGAAGAAAGTTAGGAGGTCATCATACTGAAATTTCAATTTTTTTCAGTGAAAAATAACGACATGGTAAATCGATGAAAATTAACTAAATTAGGCATAAATGCATCATCTTACATTTTATTTTTTTCCCGGAAAACTGTTCAAGGGAAAATTATGAAATTTTCAGGAAAGAAAGAGGAAAGTTAGGAGGTCGTCATACTGAAATTTCAATTTTTTTCAATGAAAAATAACGACATGGTAAATCAAAGAAAAACAACTCATATTAACCAAAAATGCACCATCTTACATTTTATTTTTTTTCCGGAAAACTATCCAAGGGAAAATTATGAAATTTTCAGGAAAGAAAGAGGAAAGTTAGGAGGTCATCATACTGAAATTTCAATTTTTTTCAGTGAAAAATAACGACATGGTAAATCGATGAAAATTAACTAAATTAGGCATAAATGCATCATCTTACATTTTATTTTTTTCCCGGAAAACTGTTCAAGGGAAAATTATGAAATTTTCAGGAAAGAAAGAGGAAAGTTAGGAGGTTGTCACACTGAAATTTCAATTTTTTTCAATGAAAAATAACGACATGGTAAATCAAAGAAAAACAACTCATATTAACCAAAAATGCACCATCTTACATTTTATTTTTTTTCCGGAAAACTATCCAAGGGAAAATTATGAAATTTTCAGGAAAGAAAGAGGAAAGTTAGGAGGTCATCATACTGAAATTTCAATTTTTTTCAGTGAAAAATAACGACATGGTAAATCGATGAAAATTAACTAAATTAGGCATAAATGCATCATCTTACATTTTATTTTTTTCCCGGAAAACTGTTCAAGGGAAAATTATGAAATTTTCAGGAAAGAAAGAGGAAAGTTAGGAGGTTGTCATACTGAAATTTCAATTTTTTTCAATGAAAAATAACGACATGGTAAATCAAAGAAAAACAACTCATATTAACCAAAAATGCACCATCTTACATTTTATTTTTTTTCCGGAAAACTATCCAAGGGAAAATTATGAAATTTTCAGGAAAGAAAGAGGAAAGTTAGGAGGTCATCATACTGAAATTTCAATTTTTTTCAGTGAAAAATAACGACATGGTAAATCGATGAAAATTAACTAAATTAGGCATAAATGCATCATCTTACATTTTATTTTTTTCCCGGAAAACTGTTCAAGGGAAAATTATGAAATTTTCAGGAAAGAAAGAGGAAAGTTAGGAGGTTGTCACACTGAAATTTCAATTTTTTTCAATGAAAAATAACGACATGGTAAATCAAAGAAAAACAACTCATATTAACCAAAAATGCACCATCTTACATTTTATTTTTTTTCCGGAAAACTATCCAAGGGAAAATTATGAAATTTTCAGGAAAGAAAGAGGAAAGTTAGGAGGTCATCATACTGAAATTTCAATTTTTTTCAGTGAAAAATAACGACATGGTAAATCGATGAAAATTAACTAAATTAGGCATAAATGCATCATCTTACATTTTATTTTTTTCCCGGAAAACTGTTCAAGGGAAAATTATGAAATTTTCAGGAAAGAAAGAGGAAAGTTAGGAGGTTGTCACACTGAAATTTCAATTTTTTTCAATGAAAAATAACGACATGGTAAATCAAAGAAAAACAACTCATATTAACCAAAAATGCACCATCTTACATTTTATTTTTTTTCCGGAAAACTATCCAAGGGAAAATTATGAAATTTTCAGGAAAGAAAGAGGAAAGTTAGGAGGTCATCATACTGAAATTTCAATTTTTTTCAGTGAAAAATAACGACATGGTAAATCGATGAAAATTAACTAAATTAGGCATAAATGCATCATCTTACATTTTATTTTTTTCCCGGAAAACTGTTCAAGGGAAAATTATGAAATTTTCAGGAAAGAAAGAGGAAAGTTAGGAGGTCATCATACTGAAATTTCAATTTTTTTCAGTGAAAAATAACGACATGGTAAATCGATGAAAATTAACTAAATTAGGCATAAATGCATCATCTTACATTTTATTTTTTTCCCGGAAAACTGTTCAAGGGAAAATTATGAAATTTTCAGGAAAGAAAGAGGAAAGTTAGGAGGTCGTCATACTGAAATTTCAATTTTTTTCAATGAAAAATAACGACATGGTAAATCAAAGAAAAACAACTCATATTAACCAAAAATGCACCATCTTACATTTTATTTTTTTTCCGGAAAACTATCCAAGGGAAAATTATGAAATTTTCAGGAAAGAAAGAGGAAAGTTAGGAGGTCATCATACTGAAATTTCAATTTTTTTCAGTGAAAAATAACGACATGGTAAATCGATGAAAATTAACTAAATTAGGCATAAATGCATCATCTTACATTTTATTTTTTTCCCGGAAAACTGTTCAAGGGAAAATTATGAAATTTTCAGGAAAGAAAGAGGAAAGTTAGGAGGTTGTCACACTGAAATTTCAATTTTTTTCAATGAAAAATAACGACATGGTAAATCAAAGAAAAACAACTCATATTAACCAAAAATGCACCATCTTACATTTTATTTTTTTTCCGGAAAACTATCCAAGGGAAAATTATGAAATTTTCAGGAAAGAAAGAGGAAAGTTAGGAGGTCATCATACTGAAATTTCAATTTTTTTCAGTGAAAAATAACGACATGGTAAATCGATGAAAATTAACTAAATTAGGCATAAATGCATCATCTTACATTTTATTTTTTTCCCGGAAAACTGTTCAAGGGAAAATTATGAAATTTTCAGGAAAGAAAGAGGAAAGTTAGGAGGTTGTCATACTGAAATTTCAATTTTTTTCAATGAAAAATAACGACATGGTAAATCAAAGAAAAACAACTCATATTAACCAAAAATGCACCATCTTACATTTTATTTTTTTTCCGGAAAACTATCCAAGGGAAAATTATGAAATTTTCAGGAAAGAAAGAGGAAAGTTAGGAGGTCATCATACTGAAATTTCAATTTTTTTCAGTGAAAAATAACGACATGGTAAATCGATGAAAATTAACTAAATTAGGCATAAATGCATCATCTTACATTTTATTTTTTTCCCGGAAAACTGTTCAAGGGAAAATTATGAAATTTTCAGGAAAGAAAGAGGAAAGTTAGGAGGTTGTCATACTGAAATTTCAATTTTTTTCAATGAAAAATAACGACATGGTAAATCAAAGAAAAACAACTCATATTAACCAAAAATGCACCATCTTACATTTTATTTTTTTTCCGGAAAACTATCCAAGGGAAAATTATGAAATTTTCAGGAAAGAAAGAGGAAAGTTAGGAGGTCATCATACTGAAATTTCAATTTTTTTCAGTGAAAAATAACGACATGGTAAATCGATGAAAATTAACTAAATTAGGCATAAATGCATCATCTTACATTTTATTTTTTTCCCGGAAAACTGTTCAAGGGAAAATTATGAAATTTTCAGGAAAGAAAGAGGAAAGTTAGGAGGTTGTCATACTGAAATTTCAATTTTTTTCAATGAAAAATAACGACATGGTAAATCAAAGAAAAACAACTCATATTAACCAAAAATGCACCATCTTACATTTTATTTTTTTTCCGGAAAACTATCCAAGGGAAAATTATGAAATTTTCAGGAAAGAAAGAGGAAAGTTAGGAGGTCATCATACTGAAATTTCAATTTTTTTCAGTGAAAAATAACGACATGGTAAATCGATGAAAATTAACTAAATTAGGCATAAATGCATCATCTTACATTTTATTTTTTTCCCGGAAAACTGTTCAAGGGAAAATTATGAAATTTTCAGGAAAGAAAGAGGAAAGTTAGGAGGTTGTCACACTGAAATTTCAATTTTTTTCAATGAAAAATAACGACATGGTAAATCAAAGAAAAACAACTCATATTAACCAAAAATGCACCATCTTACATTTTATTTTTTTTCCGGAAAACTATCCAAGGGAAAATTATGAAATTTTCAGGAAAGAAAGAGGAAAGTTAGGAGGTCATCATACTGAAATTTCAATTTTTTTCAGTGAAAAATAACGACATGGTAAATCGATGAAAATTAACTAAATTAGGCATAAATGCATCATCTTACATTTTATTTTTTTCCCGGAAAACTGTTCAAGGGAAAATTATGAAATTTTCAGGAAAGAAAGAGGAAAGTTAGGAGGTTGTCACACTGAAATTTCAATTTTTTTCAATGAAAAATAACGACATGGTAAATCAAAGAAAAACAACTCATATTAACCAAAAATGCACCATCTTACATTTTATTTTTTTTCCGGAAAACTATCCAAGGGAAAATTATGAAATTTTCAGGAAAGAAAGAGGAAAGTTAGGAGGTCATCATACTGAAATTTCAATTTTTTTCAGTGAAAAATAACGACATGGTAAATCGATGAAAATTAACTAAATTAGGCATAAATGCATCATCTTACATTTTATTTTTTTCCCGGAAAACTGTTCAAGGGAAAATTATGAAATTTTCAGGAAAGAAAGAGGAAAGTTAGGAGGTTGTCACACTGAAATTTCAATTTTTTTCAATGAAAAATAACGACATGGTAAATCAAAGAAAAACAACTCATATTAACCAAAAATGCACCATCTTACATTTTATTTTTTTTCCGGAAAACTATCCAAGGGAAAATTATGAAATTTTCAGGAAAGAAAGAGGAAAGTTAGGAGGTCATCATACTGAAATTTCAATTTTTTTCAGTGAAAAATAACGACATGGTAAATCGATGAAAATTAACTAAATTAGGCATAAATGCATCATCTTACATTTTATTTTTTTCCCGGAAAACTGTTCAAGGGAAAATTATGAAATTTTCAGGAAAGAAAGAGGAAAGTTAGGAGGTTGTCATACTGAAATTTCAATTTTTTTCAATGAAAAATAACGACATGGTAAATCAAAGAAAAACAACTCATATTAACCAAAAATGCACCATCTTACATTTTATTTTTTTTCCGGAAAACTATCCAAGGGAAAATTATGAAATTTTCAGGAAAGAAAGAGGAAAGTTAGGAGGTCATCATACTGAAATTTCAATTTTTTTCAGTGAAAAATAACGACATGGTAAATCGATGAAAATTAACTAAATTAGGCATAAATGCATCATCTTACATTTTATTTTTTTCCCGGAAAACTGTTCAAGGGAAAATTATGAAATTTTCAGGAAAGAAAGAGGAAAGTTAGGAGGTTGTCATACTGAAATTTCAATTTTTTTCAATGAAAAATAACGACATGGTAAATCAAAGAAAAAACAACTCATATTAACCAAAAATGCACCATCTTACATTTTATTTTTTTTTCCGGAAAACTATCCAAGGGAAAATTATGAAATTTTCAGGAAAGAAAGAGGAAAGTTAGGAGGTCATCATACTGAAATTTCAATTTTTTTCAGTGAAAAATAACGACATGGTAAATCGATGAAAATTAACTAAATTAGGCATAAATGCATCATCTTACATTTTATTTTTTTCCCGGAAAACTGTTCAAGGGAAAATTATGAAATTTTCAGGAAAGAAAGAGGAAAGTTAGGAGGTTGTCACACTGAAATTTCAATTTTTTTCAATGAAAAATAACGACATGGTAAATCAAAGAAAAACAACTCATATTAACCAAAAATGCACCATCTTACATTTTATTTTTTTTCCGGAAAACTATCCAAGGGAAAATTATGAAATTTTCAGGAAAGAAAGAGGAAAGTTAGGAGGTCATCATACTGAAATTTCAATTTTTTTCAGTGAAAAATAACGACATGGTAAATCGATGAAAATTAACTAAATTAGGCATAAATGCATCATCTTACATTTTATTTTTTTCCCGGAAAACTGTTCAAGGGAAAATTATGAAATTTTCAGGAAAGAAAGAGGAAAGTTAGGAGGTTGTCACACTGAAATTTCAATTTTTTTCAATGAAAAATAACGACATGGTAAATCAAAGAAAAACAACTCATATTAACCAAAAATGCACCATCTTACATTTTATTTTTTTTCCGGAAAACTATCCAAGGGAAAATTATGAAATTTTCAGGAAAGAAAGAGGAAAGTTAGGAGGTCATCATACTGAAATTTCAATTTTTTTCAGAGAAAAATAACGACATGGTAAATCAATGAAAATCAACTCGTAAAATCCTAATTAACCAAAAATGCACCATCTTACATTTTATTTATTTTCCGGAAAACTGTCCAAGGGAAAATTATGAAATTTTCAGGAAAGAAAGAGGAGAATTAGGAGCTTATCATACTGAAATTTCAAACTTTTTCAGTGAAAATAAACAAAATGGAAAATTAATGAAAATCTACTTACTTTTATTATCTAAATTATCACCCTTAGTATCACCAGAAGCAGCATCAGGCTCAATCTCTGACTCTTCCGTTTTCTTTTTTTCTTCTGCAGCAACATTGACGGAATCGTCCAGGCTTATAGTGGCGTAAAGTTCTTCTAAATGATTGGTCTAAAACAATAGGAAAAACACATATTATAAACCCAGAAAATTGACACAAAATTAGGGAAAAACTTAAGGAAAAATCAGACATTTTTATCGAAAGTGACTTCATTTATGTGTCAGAAGACCGTCGTTGTTATCATCATGTTATATCATTTATTAGCACGTGGTTCAGTGAAATTTTGTCATCAAAAACTATAATAATTGTAGCTCATATAATTTATGTAGTAAAAATATTAAAATACACTCACCAATCATTTTCAATTAAATTAAATTAAAGTCAGCAAAAAAACTAGAGAAAATCTTGCCACATGTTACCCGTACAATGGCTCCCAACAAAATGAAGGAAGTGACGCAACAAAAAAAAAAAAAGATGGCCTCGTATATCTCAAAATAAACACATGCCTGCGCGCCGATAACGGAAAAAGCAAAATCCAAACGTACTTACTGGGTGAAACAATATTTTTTAAGTTTGACCTTTGAGATTAGCAAAAAACTTTTAACTTACCACAATATCTTCTGAAGCTGATTCGTCCAAGTTTTCCTGAACTTCTGAGACATCTAAACCATCAACTTGTCCGGGACTTATGTGCCAATAGTTATACTCGTTATACGAAAGCAAGTCATCTTCGTGCCGCTGCGATATATTCAAACATTAACATGCAAAAAAGGCCCAAAAAAAAACAATATTAGAAAGCGAAAAATTACCTCTTGTTGTTCAGTCTTTGAAGTGGAATTTGCCTTTTTACTTTGTTCATCGTCCAAGTCGGTTACTTCATTACCATCGCACATTAGATCAGAAAAATTTACAGCCTTATGGTAGGCACCTGGATTGGAAAAACCATCTACACCACCTGGTTGGCTGAAAAAGATGTCAATAATTATATTGAAAATTCAGTAAAACATTAGACTTACAATTCGTTCCCATTCATATTAAACATCACAAGTTCCCCTGAAGCATTATACCCAATACTGGTCAGAGGTGGATCAGCAAAAGTTACAATAAAAGCGCCCAGCATTTGGTAAGCGGACATCATCACCCATCTGCAATCGTCTGTCAATAGTTGAGCAAAGGCGGGAGCCAATAAGGATCTTCTGAGGCTTGGATCGCAGGCGCACGAGACGTACATTATGACTTCGGCGCAGGATTTGCGCACGCCCCAAATTTCGTCTTGACAGAGAACCAAATAGCGAGGGAGCTAAAGCAAAATAAGGTCTTATTTTTTCTGAGTCACTGTATTGTAAGGCTCCCACTCAATTATGACTTTTCCATAAAGAGTATAATATAGAGCATTTTTAAATTATACTGATTTCAAGATACATTTTTTCATAAATTACAGGCTTTTGAGGTAACGGAAGAAGCTTCTTTCTTCAATTTGTAAAAATTTCCAATTTTCCTCAAACTTAGAGAATTCAATGGACTTATTATTAGAGGCTCTATTTTCAATTTTGTCCCTAAATTTGGTTTTTACCTTCGATGTCATTAGTTTCTACCAAACTCTAAACGGGATTTTTATTCAAATTTCTGAGTATTACAAAGAAATTAAATTCTGTACTTTTTGTAGTCTCGCACATTTCAAAGTTTTCCTGGAAAACCAGTAGAGGGAAAAATTTGAAACTTTTTACATATAAACAGGAAGATTGGAAGCTCATTTTCCCAAAATTTCAAATTTTTCCAGTGGAAAATAACAGTATGAAGAATCTTGGAAATCAACATACAAAAACTGAATTAATTGAAAATACAGCCCTATACATTTCAAAGTTTCCCTGGAAAACTAGTGAAGGGAAAAATTTGAAACTTTTAGCATGTAAAGAGGAAGGTTGGAAGCTCATTTTCCCAAAATTTCAAATTTTTTCAATGGAAAATAGCAACATGAAGAATCTTGGAAATCAACCTACAAAAACTGAATTATTTGAAAATACAGCCCTATACATTTCAAAGTTTCCCTGGAAAACCAGTAGAGGGAAAAATTTGAAACTTTTTACATATAGAGAGGAAGGTTGGAAGCTCATTTTCCCAAAATTTCAAATTTTTTCAATGGAAAATAGCAACATGAAGAATCTTGGAAATCAACCTACAAAAAATGAATTATTTGAAAATACAGCCCTATATATTTCAAAGTTTCCTTGGAAAACCAGTAGAGGGAAAAATTTGAAACTTTTTACATATAGAGAGGAAGGTTGGAAGCTCATTTTCCCAAAATTTCAAATTTTTTCAATGGAAAATAGCAACATGAAGAATCTTGGAAATCAACCTACAAAAAATGAATTATTTGAAAATACAGCCCTATACATTTCAAAGTTTCCCTGGAAAACCAGTAGAGGGAAAAATTTGAAACTTTTTACATATAGAGAGGAAGGTTGGAAGCTCATTTTCCCAAAATTTCAAATTTTTTCAATGGAAAATAGCAACATGAAGAATCTTGGAAATCAACCTACAAAAAATGAATTATTTGAAAATACAGCCCTATATATTTCAAAGTTTCCCTGGAAAACCAGTAGAGGGAAAAATTTGAAACTTTTTACATATAGAGAGGAAGGTTGGAAGCTCATTTTCCCAAAATTTCAAATTTTTTCAATGGAAAATAGCAACATGAAGAATCTTGGAAATCAACCTACAAAAACTGAATTAATTGAAAATACAGTCCCACACATTTCAAAGTTTCCCTGGAAAACTAGTGAAGGGAAAAATTTGAAACTTTATGCATATAAAGAGGAAGGTTAGAAGCTCATTTTCCCAAAATTTCAAATTTTTCCAGTGAAAAATAACAGTATGAAGAATTTTGGAAATCAACCTACAAAAACTTAATTTATTGAAAATACAGTCCCACACATTTCAAAATTTTCCTGGAAAACCAGTAGAGGGAAAAATTTGGAACTTTTTACATATAGAGAGGAAGGTTGGAAGCTCATTTTCCCAAAATTTCAAATTTTTTCAATGGAAAATAGCAACATGAAGAATCTTGGAAATCAACCCTAACAAAAACTGAATTATTTGAAAATACAGCCCTATACCATTTCAAAGTTTCCCTGGAAAAACCAGTAGAGGGAGAAATTTGAAACTTTTACATATAGAGGGAGAAGGTTGGAAGCTCATTTTCCCAAAATTTCAAATTTTTTCAATGGAAAATAGCAACATGAAGAATCTTGGAAATCAACCTACAAAAAACTGAATTATTTGAAAATACAGCCCCTATACATTTCAAAGTTTCCCTGGAAAACCAGTAGAGGGAAAAAATTTGAAACTTTTTACATATAGAGAGGAAGGTTGGAAGCTCATTTTCCCAAAATTTCAAATTTTTCCAGTGGAAAATAACAGTATGAAGAATCTTGGAAATCAACATACAAAAACTGAATTAATTGAAAATACAGTCTCACACATTTCAAAAGTTTTCCTGGAAAAACCAGTAGAGGGAAAAAATTTGAAACTTTTTGCATATAAAGAGGAAGGTCGGAAGCCCATTTTCCCCAAAATTTCAAATTTTTTCAATGGAAAATAGCAACATGAAGAATCTTGGAAATCAACCTACAAAAACTGAATTAATTGAAAATACAGTCCCACACATTTCAAAGTTTTCCAAGAAAACTAGTGAAAGGAAAAATTTGAAACTTTATGCATATAAAGAGGAAGGTTAGAAGCTCATTTTCCCAAAATTTCAAATTTTTCCCAGTGAAAAATAACAGTATGAAGAATTTTGGAAATCAACCTACAAAAACTTAATTTATTGAAAATACAGTCTCACACATTTTAAACTTTTCCTGGAAAACCAGTGGAGAGAATGGTAGTCCGTAGCCATCAATTTCTGGTCACTTAACGAGGGAAGTTCCAGATTAAAGCCTGGAATCAAGGCTAAAAATACAATTTTTTACGTCAAATGTGGGAGTACACGTATCGAGACCTGAGGGACTTAATTTATCTAGGAAATCACTTCAAGAGCTCTATGCCCAGAGATGTGTGCTTGTTAAAAATAGATCCCTCGAGAAAAACAGCTCCTCGGAAAAAACGACTCCCCAGTAAAACAGCTCCTCGGAAAACAACTCCTCGGAAAAACAGCTCCTCGGAAAAAACGGCTCCCCGGTAAAACAGCTCTTCGCAAAATTCAAACATAAACTTTTATATATAAAGAGGAAGGTTAAAAGCTCATTTTCCCAAAAATTTCAAATTTTTCCAGTGAAAAATTCTTCTTAAAAATTCTTAAAAATCTTCAAATTATTTGTATAAGAAAAAAAATGTCAGGACCTTGTTCTTTTCACCTTGTAATAAGGACTCTATTTAAAAATTTGAATAGAGCCTCTAAAAGTCAAAATATTATCCTTATAAACAAAAGCTTTTGAAAAATTAGAGACTTTCCAAGTTGAATCTATTACCTCGAATAAAAACACAATAAAATTTTTAATTTTTCTCACCCTGTACAGGGGTGTCAAGTTATAGAGTACCACCCCCTGTAACTTTTTCATTTTTGTATAAAAAAATTACAGGGGGTGGTACTTCATAATTTTGATACCGAATACAGAAATTGAAATTTGAATGCTATTCAAAAACCATTTTCACGTGGCTCCGGTTGAACAAACCGCTCAAATTCGAGTGGTAGGTATTCATCACGTCACTTTGTAACCGGGTTAGAAAACGGTATGTCATTTCTGTAACCGTTTTGTACCC